TTGCTGCTTATGGAATTTTGGAATCCACGAGTCAGGGAGATTGTCATATATATATATATGTATGTATATGTGATATATGATATATGATATATGATATATATATATATATGCACACATCGACAGCTTCAATGATACGGCACTCATCAACCTATGGAACGCATCGAATACCACCGGCTCAAAAATGTTGAGGCCATGGAGATTCAACCCCCCAAAAAACGGGCCGGGTAAGGATATCATAATAGTATGAGTATCATCACCCACAAGGGTAATATATATGGTATATATACTATCATAGCAATACTATGGTATCATAATATGGTATCATCATATTTAATATGGAACTAAAAAAACTATCATAGTATCATAATAGCATCAATAGCAACCAACCAACCAACAACAGATGTTTTTCTAATTGGTTAAGTCTACAAGGTGGTGCCCCAGTTCGGAATCGCTAAGTTGGTTGGTGCAAATAAGTCCTATGGTCCTAGGCTTAATCTGGAGGTTATATCGAACTAGTCAATGGGGATTATAAACCAACAAACATAGCTGGGGGGGTTACCATATTTTATATATTATATATTATATATTATATTTTATATATTATATATTATATTTTATATATTATATATTATATATTATATTTTAAATATTATATATTATATATTATATATTATATATTATTTATTAAATATTATATATTATATATTATTTATTAAATATTATATATTATATTGAATATATTATTTATAGATATATTATTGAATATATATATATATATATTATATTGAATATATTATTTATAGATATTATATTGAATATATATATATATTATTGAATATATCATTTATATATTGTATTATATTATATTTTATATATATATTGTATTGAATATATGATTTATATATTGTATTATTTTATAGTTTATATACCATATATTATATATCATATATTATGTATTGTATTATATTATATATATATTATATATATACGTATATATTATATTGAATATATTATTTATATATTGTATTATATATGTCATAAACCCAACAGTGAACCTCTTTTCAACCAGTTTAGCTTACTTTGAAACCCTGATGATTGAAAAAGCTTCATAAGGCTTGCTCCCATCCCAGATACATGTGGCGGAGAAACTGCGGTAGACGAGGAGGTAAAATGACCCATTTACCCATTTCCCCCCCTTGTGGCTATCATTCAACAGGAACAAGAAATAACAAACCTCCCTTGTTGGAGCAACCGAAATTACAACAGGACCAGCCCTACTCTACTTAGAACTGGGCTTACAACCTACTAACCAAACCACCCAGTACCAACTGCAAATCATGGTGAAACATGGTGAAATGGTCAAAATCCCCACCAAGATCACCTGGTTGGTGGTTGACCTACCCCTCTGAAACATATGAGTTCGTCAAATGGGACTATTATTCCCAATATATGGAAAGTCACAAAAACCAGGTAACTATATGATACTATATGGAGGCTTCCTAAGATGGGGGTACTGTACCCCAAATCACCAATATATGGAAAGTCATTCAAAATTCCATGGTTCCAGTCACCACCAAGCAGATATATTCTTATTCCAATTATTAACCGTTATTAACCATTATTAACCATTATTAACCATAGATTGACCATAGATTCCCATTGAGTTCGATGATTTTCCCAGCTTTTTCAATCCCCAGGCTGAAAGCTCCACCATTTGTAGACCATTTTCGCCAACGAAAGCTCCGTTTTCGTTCGCTGATGTTCCAACCACGTTTGGGTACCAGAGGATATATTCCCATCCTATCCCAATTATTCTCCTGTTATATCCCTGTAAATCCCTATAAATCCCTATTGTTGATTATTCTCCCATCCTATCCTATCCCAATTATTCTCCCAAATATTCTCCAGTTATATATATATATATATATATCCCTATAAATCCCGTTGATTAAAACATCCATGAAAAACATCGCCATTGTTCGGCAAGGCACGTCTCGGCCTCTCTGTGCCGCAATTGCAGGTAGTGTAGCTGGAGCCGCAGCAATTCGGCGCTCTCCTGCTTCATGTGTTCTTATGGTGCCCTATAGATGGGATTTCAACCTGAAAAATAGCTACTTAATCAGTAAGAACAGGAATTTATGGGTGATTTAATTATATTGGCTAAGTTGATTTATGTTGTTTTTTTTTCACAAATACTGTTGGGTTTCTGGTAGATCTCTCCACCAGTGTGGTGTGAAGTCAACATGAGACATGTTGGCTGTGAAGTCAAAATGGGACATGTTGGCGCGTTCATCAGCAAAACTGCAGTTCGATATACAACAAAACAGTGGAATTTGAACACCAAAATGTTGGATTTCAGCCAACAAAAGGAAAACTCATAAAAGCATACCCTCTGGTAAACTAACATAACCATTGAAAATTGCCATTTATAGTTGATTTACCTCTTAAAAATGGTGGATCTTTCCAGTTCGCTATGTGAAAAATTATCAAAAATTGTAGTTTGACCAAGCCAAAATGGGGATTCCACCTTAAAGAAGTCTGGATTTTTTCATCAACCCAATTTGGATTTGCCAAAAATCGAAAAATTTGACCAACAACCCAGGATTCGGCCATAAGAAAGGGGATCACCAACCGAGATTTCAACAAATTTTCTTGGGATCAGCAACCGTGATTTTGATGATTGGGATCTTCATTTATCAACTTTATCAACTTATCAACATAAATAATGATCATGGATTTCTGATTGGGATTTATTTATCAACATTGGAATCTTCATTTATCAACATTGATAAATCAACATAATTGGGATTTCTGATTGTGGGATGTGACAACAATGAGGCTAAGAAATTACGATCGCAATCGAAAAGAAATGATGATGTTAACGAACAACCAAAAAGCGACCAAAAAGCTGGGTCGAAAACGGGTTGACTAAATCAACTGGATTAATTGAATATAGAACACTTTCTAACCTGTTACACAACGCCATGGCCCAGCAAGAGGAGGCCCTTATTGGTGATATTCGATTGGCATAAAATGTCCCTATTTCAGGATGGAAATTTATCTCCTTGTTCGTTACCGTTATCGGGACTATCCCCAAATTATCCCCAAATATGTATGTACAGGTTTAATACATACATATGGTCAAAACATGGTATATGGGGTTCATAATCATTCATCCATACTCATTCCATTTGCTGTGAATCCAAAAAATCTCATTTTCTGGCTTCCTAAAATGCCAAAAATCGTCCTGGGTGATTTTCATTTTGAATAAGGAAACTGATGGGTTTTGGGGTACCCTCTGGTAATTTAACGTAGCTATGGAAAGATCCACCATTTTTAATGGGAAAATCCACTATAAATGGCCATTTTCAATAGCAAACCGTTAAATTACCAGAGGGTATATGGAGGATCAACTCAACAACCAGCATTTCTGCAACACAGATCTGATGAAAATCCCGGCTTCCCCAGATGTAACTGGTGGACCCCAAGATTTTCCTCGTGGTTGTCCCGGATTCCGCATGGCTTATCCCATGGTTTTTTGGTGAACTCACGCCACTTAAAGCCACTAACCAGTTTTTATATGAGAGGGATGATCCTCCAAGTATGCTGAAACCCAACTAAACGCAATTGGAAACCTGAAAAGTTCGTCATTTCAAGTACTAAACCCTGAAAAGTTAGATCATTTTCCCGATGAACAACTCCATTTAGTGCGGTGATTTTCCAGTTCCCCAAAAATTGTGTCAAGTACACCCAATCAATATCTCCATTGATGCCATTCAAACCTCCATCTATAGACGATTTCCCATCTATATATATATACCAGTTATAATATTTAGAGATGATTTTCATTGATGATTTTCATTGATGATGTTCATTGATGATTTTCATTGATGATTTTCATTGATGATTTTCATTGATGATTTTCATTGATGATTTTCATTGATGATTTTCATTGATGATTTTCATTGATGATTTTCATTGATGATTTTCATTGATGATTTTCATTGATGATTTTCATTGATGATTTTCATTGATGATTTTCATTGATGATTTTCATTGATGATTTTCATTGATGATTTTCATTGATGATTTTCATTTTTGATGATTTTCATTGATGATTTTCATTGATGATTTTCATTGATGATTTTCATTGATGATTTTCATTGATGATTTTCATTGATGATTTTCATTGATGATTTTCATTGATGATTTTCATTGATGATTTTCATTGATGATTTTCATTGATGATTTTCATGATTTTCATTGATGATTTTCATTGATGATTTTCATTGATGATTTTCATTGATGATTTTCATTGATGATTTTCATTGATGATTTTCATTGATGATTTTCATTGATGATTTTCATTGATGATTTTCATTGATGATTTTCATTGATGATTTTCATTGATGATTTTCATTGATGATTTTTGATGATTTTCATTGATGATTTTCATTGATGATTTTCATTGATGATTTTCATTGATGATTTTCATTGATGATTTTCATTGATGATTTTCATTGATGATTTTCATTGATGATTTTCATTGATGATTTTCATTGATGATTTTCATTGATGATTTTCATTGATGATTTTCAGTGATGATTTTCATTGATGATTTTCATTGATGATTTTCATTGATGATTTTCATTGATGATTTTCATTGATGATTTTCATTGATGATTTTCATTGATGATTTTCATTGATGATTTTCATTGATGATTTTCATTGATGATTTTCATTGATGATTTTCATTGATGATTTTCATTGATGATTTTCATTGATGATTTTCATTGATGATTTTCATTGATGATTTTCATTGATGATTTTCATTGATGATTTTCATTGATGATTTTCATTGATGATTTTCATTGATGATTTTCATTGATGATTTTCATTGATGTTCCCATCTATAAACCTCCATATCCTCCATTTGTAGATGATTTTCCCATCTATCTATCTGTATATATATATATATGTAAACCTCCATTTTTTTCCCATCAAAATCCCCACTTTTTGTCCGCCTGCGCCAGGCGTTCGCCCTGCATCTGCGCCCTTCGCCGCAGCGTTAGGTGGGCCCAGGACAGCAGCACAGCACGCTGCAAACGCCTGGCGTTGCACAATGAGGACATCTTTTTTGGCCAAGAAGAACGGAGGATGTCATGTTTCAACAAAGCAAAATGGGGATTTAGCAAATTCAACAAAAAACAAGCAACCAACATGTATGATTTGACCAGCAGTAATTTAGTTGAGGTTTTAACAACAACAACAACAACAACGAGGACTTTGCGAAGTAAGTATGGTGATTTAACCAACAGAAAAAGCTACAAACAAATGAGGATCAAGGCCTGTTGGTTCCCCAAATCATGATTTTCGGCAGAGCTGTGGATGTTCAACGGACAAGAATGGGGATGTTATGGACGCGCCAAAGAAATGTGATGGTATGGACTACCAAGCAGTTGAAGTTGAAGTTGCCCTCCGGTAAACTAACATAGAATTTATGTACCATTTGTAGATCATTGGGCTCCCCCTGGGTTTTCCGCATCTACGTTCAGTTTATCCCAGGGTATTGCCAATCAAAAAGCGTGATCTATGAACATAGGGATGCTACCAAAGGTCCCTTGGCTGTTCCTCACCAAAGACTTTGAGAAGTCTCAAGCGGCCTACGTGATGTTCTCACACAAACATTGCAGTTGGATCCCATTGTCAGATTGAACTATACATTATGTGTATATATATAATATTATGATATATTATGTATATATAATATTATGTATATCAGTTGAAACAGAGAATTCAACGTTCAATCGATATTGGATTAAATTATATTGGATTTTGCCGTATCATATATTCAAGATATCTATTTGTTGATATTCATATATTATATCATGGGATGATCCAAAAAGAAAGTCTCCCAGGTTTTCATCCAATCCCCCTTAAAAAAAGAACAGCGGCCCGAACGGCAGCGCCTCGTTGACGTCCAGGCCTTTTAAAGGGATGCCCAAGAGATGCCCAAAATCTGGGTTTCACAAGTTTCAAGACCATCACCTCCAGATAACATTCCAATTTTGCTACTTCACACTTCTGAATCTGACAAGTAGGTCCGCAGTTCAAAACAGGTGGATACGTCGCAGTCATCGACAAAAACTGGAGCGATCACGATCATCCCAAGATGTTCATTCCACGAGACTTTCAAAGTGAAAAAAGGGGAAGGCATGAATCTGAAAGGCGATAGCGACCTGTACCAACTGGGAGTAATGGGGGGAGTAATGGCTTTGATGGAGTTTAATGTAACTATCTGATACTATATGGAGGTTTCCTAAGATGGGAGTACCCCAAATCATCCCTTTCATTTTCGGATTTTCCATGAAATAAACCATCGAGCGAGCTTGGGATACCCCCATTTATGGAACCCCCAAATATCTATGACCTACAAGGTAGAGCCCCCGAGCTAAGTCGGTTGATAACTAGTTTCACTGTGGAAACCTGAAACTCCCGCACTTCCCATACCATTCGAGCCTTGGCATTCGCTGCGTGTATTCCGTGCAAACCTCAGGGAGAATGGTGATGCTAAAGTTGGAAGTAAAAATCTGCCAGAAACCCCTACAGTTGTATTGGCAAAATCAACGTTGCTTCTGGTTTCCTTGTCAATTATGTTGCAGCATCAGAAAATGGTTCAATACTTTTCTCTCAAGATCCCATTCTTGTTTGGCTGGTTAAATCCGCATCTTCGTTGCTGTTGAAACCATATAAAATTGGCACGGTGAAATCCCGTTTCTAATCATCTTCAGATCATGTTCAATTCTCCATCCTAGCCACAGTTTCTGCTTGGGAGTGTAGTTCCACAAGTATATAGTGTATTTGTTGCGATGGTTGCAAAGGCCCCATATGGAGCTTTCCTAAAATGGGGGTACCCCCAAATGATCCATGTTAATAGGATGTTCCATTATAAACCAACCATTTTCAGGTACCCCCCCTTTATGGAAACCCCCATATCCCAGCACCCAACTGCACCATATCCCAGCTGCCTGAACCCGGTCTCCTTGGCGGCGTTCGGCGGCAATCCGACCTCGGCGGCAACATGAACAGTTTAGCCAACAAGAACAGGGAGAAAACCAACCATACTTCGAACCAGATACCCCTCTTTTCAAATCCACTTTGACAATGGAAAACCCCACTGTTTGACGGAAAATCATCTGTAAACGGAGGATGTGTCATTTACCAAGATAGATTACTCGCTTCTGGTGTGATAGAGATAGCAAAGTCATCCACTCAATACCCTGCATGCTGCGAACATGGCCTGGTAGCAGGTTCCTGAAAGTGGATAATATTTACGCATGAGTATGAGTAAAAATTGTAACCCCGGGAGGGACCACTGATTTTAGTATATGTGAGTGAAACAATAATCAACCGCCCATGTGGGAATGGTTAATACATGTTAATACCATCTATTTCTGGTGATTTGGGGGATGGTTTATTATTGGTTTACCCACATGTTATCGCCATTTCGGATATTATCCTATTAAAATTGGTGATATTATCCCATTGACGCACCATTAAATCCCCATTGTTGATGGTTAAGCAATGAACCTTATTGGGGGACTCAATAAGTAGAAGACCCATACCCGGTCACTTGGTGATCCGGCCATGCATGCAGAGAGGCATACAGCAGCACCAAGCGGCAGGCGGCCTCAAGGACACCGACGGCAACTTAAACCCCAATCCCTTTCTTTGCATATATTGTGTACATATATATACATATATTGATAGTAATTGATAGTAAGTATGCAGTATACATATATTGATAGTAATTGATAATAAGTATATAATATACATCTATTGATAGTAATTGATAGTAAGTATATAATATACATCTATTGATAGTAATTGATTGTAAGTATGTATATATATATATATTGGAATTATCACAATTCACTTGCTGAAAAAGAAAATGCATGTTTGATAGTTGCACATGAACATATACAGACAAAGATATAGATATACCCTCTGGTAAACAAACATAACTACGGAAAATCATCACTTTAATAGGTAAATCAAGTATAAATGAACCATTTTCAATAGCAAACTGTTAGTTTCCCGTTATTTATCATTGTTATCCCTATTGTTGAGGCTTAAATCCCTATTGTTGGTGGCTAATCCCTACATTCCCAGAAAATCCCCCATGATGTCACCGTCGTCCTACCTCGCCGCGGCGCACCACTGCTGCAAGGCCGTCGAAGCGCCTCGTGATCCAAGATATAGGGATGGACACACAGTTAACACATTGCTTCCATATGTGTGATGTGTATATATATATACGTATGTGTGTATGTACATATATATATATATGCAGATATGTATATATATATATATGTATATGTATGTATGTACCTATGTGTATATCTATATAGCGATCCTCAAAAAAGCTGTTGGTAAAATCCTGCAAAGATAGTGCCGTGTGTAAGCTTTTCTATATTTTTGCTAACTACTGTATATATAACATACATATATATATATGTATATATATAATGATGTTCTAATTGATAAAGATTTGCGTGTGTATCTGAAATTGAGAGATACCCCTAAAACCATGGTATTTAGGGATTGACATAATGACTAGTTTCAGACAAACCCGTTTATATGATCTTATAATCAGAACCAGAAGATCTCAATAAATATACAATATACATATATATATAATATATATAAATGATATCATATGATGTGATACTATTTTGTATGGTGATTAATGTGTGTATATATATATATGTATATGTATATCTGGGTGTTTCCCTAAAATAGGGGTACTCCAAATCATCCAAAATTAGACAATTTTAGTCTTGAAACCAATGGTTTTGGCGATTCCCCATTTTAGGAAACCTCCCTATATATATATACATACATACATACATACACATATATATATATATACATACATTACATTACATTGCATTACATTACATTACATTACATAACAAAACATAACATAACAATACATACATTACATTACATTACATTACACTACATTACATTACATTGCATTGCATTACATTACATTACATTACAATACATACATACATACATACCTATATATATATATACATACATATAAAATAAAATATTCTAATATAATAAAATATGATATAATATGATAAAATATGATATAATATAATCTTATATGAAATTACATAATATAATATATTATAACACAATTTAATATAAGGCAATACAATATAATATAATAAAATATAATATGATATAATGTAATATAATATAATATGATATAATATAATATAATGTAATATAATATAATATAATATAATACAATATAATATAATGCAAAATAATATAATATAATATGATATAATATAATGCAATATCATATAATATAATACAATGTAATTTAATATAGTATAGTGTAATATAATATAATATAATAAAATATAATATAATATAATATGATATGTGTATGTATATCATATCATGATCTGAATCAGAAGCTCCCCATCTCGGCCTTTGCCTCTCCTCTCTGCATGCCAGGCCGATTCTGGGCCTGGAGGCGAAATCACCGGGAAAAGGTGAGGAAAGCGCGAGGATTTCAGCCGCAAAACTTGGGATGATCCACATTTATATCATTGGATTGGTTTAAGGGAAAATCTACAGGAAACCATGGTTTTTACCATCAAATATAGGGCTTTCCTGTAAATTTTCCCATCATCCAATTCTATGATTATAATATCTGATCCCAATAGCTAGATGGTTGATAAATGTATTCCCATGAATATCACCATTATACCATATATATATATACTATATATACTACTGGTTGGTGGTTGACCTACCCCTCTGAAAAATATGAGTCAGTTGGGATGATGAAATTCCCAATATATGGAAAATAAAATTCATGTTCCAAACCACCAATCAGACAATAGTCATATTGGAATATAAGATGGAATGACCATTCTGAAATAGATGAAGCAATTTTGAAATGGAATTTGCATCAGATATGCAAAAATAATGGGGTGAGACATCGGATTGAGCTTGGCCACAAAAAAGGGACGAACTGCATTTTTTAAAAACCAAAACAACCTATTTCTTGCGCAACAAAACTTGATTTCCCATGCAATGGAAATGTTACTCATATCTGCCACCAACAAAGCTTCGTAACCAATACATACTTTAGTGCCCTTTCCAGACAAAATTGGGCTGCCTCGAGAACAAACAATATTTAGCCTAATATTTGCCTATTATAACCTATTATAGCCCACCTTTAGATCATTACAACCCGGTATAACCCATTATAACCCATTATAACCTATTATAACCCATTATAACCCATAGTAACCCATTATAACCCATTACAACCTATTATAACCCATCATAACCCATAATAACCCACAATAACCTATTATAACCCATTATAACCCATAATAACCTATTATAACCGATTATAACCCAAAATAAACTAGTATAAATATAACCCATAATAACCTATTATAACCCATTATAACCCAAATAGCCTATTATAACGCATTATAACTTATAGCCCATAATAACCTATTATAACCCATTATAACCCAAATAGCTTATTATAACGCATTATAACTTGTAACCCATAATAACCTATTATAACACATTATCACCCAAATAGCTATTATAACGCATTATAACTTATAACCCATAATAACCTATTATAACCCATTATAACCCAAATAGCCTATTATAACGCATTATAACCCAAATAGCCTATTATAACACATTTTAACTTATAACCCATAATAACCTATTATAACCCATTATAACCCAAATAGCCTATTATAACACATTTTAACTTATAACCCATAATAACCTATTATAACCCATTATAACCCAAATAGCCTATTATAACGCATTATAACCCAAATAGCCTATTATAACCCATTGTAACCGATTATAACACTCATAATAACCCATTATAACCCATAATAACCCTTGATTTCCCACCCATTTCTCAGCATGTCTCCCGTTCAACGCCGCGGACCACGTGACCACGCCTCCCTCGAATGGCTCTAGCTGTGGCCAGGCCCCAATGCATTAGGACTTGGGAGGCCAACATGCAGTGGGAAGATCGATCCTCGGCCAAGTTACTCGAGGGATTAGTAATGGCTACCCTCCGGTCAATGGCTTAGTAATGGCCACAATAAATGGTTGGTATAAATCATCCCCAAATGGCTTAATGATGGCTTAGTAATGGCTTAATGATGGCTTAGTAATGGTTTGATGATGGGATGTTTATATATATATATGGAATAGATATCATAAACACCCTATACATGGATGTTTTGTCATGGAAGAATCATGTAGAATGGGTTTTCCAGAGCCAGAGAGCCATGTTGGATTACCGGTAGATACAATGAGTTTTCTTGGAGGTCTGATGTACGCTTAGGGGGGAGTTCATGGGCTTAAGTGGCTTCAATGGGCTTGAATTGGGTCTAATGGGGTTCTATAAAGATAAAAGCCAATCTGAGATGGGCTGATATATATATATATGCATGTATATATATATGTATATATATATGTATATATAAATATATATATATATATGTATATATATGTATATATGTGTATATATATATATATATATGTATATATATATGTATATATATATGTATAATATATATATATGGCCCGTCTTCCACAACCGTGCCAGCATTGCCGCAGCCTTTTGCAAGTAGCATCGACGGCTGTGAATCTTAAGTTGAAACGGATCTGAATGCTCAGCTGGCCAAAAGAGACTGATGAGTCCTTCAGGGCACACCAGAACAAATAGCCTCCCCGGTGCAAACGTTTCAGTAAGGAAGAGGTGGATGGAGTGGAGGAGGTGGAGCACTTGAGGATAAGATATAGCGGCACTAATGCTTTCGACTCATCATTCCATTGCAAGCAAACTACATGGCCCGTCTTCCACAACCGTGCCAGCATTGCCGCAGCCTTTTGCAAGTAGCATCGACTGCTGTGAATCTTAAGTTAAAACGGATCTGAATGCTCAGCTGGCCAAAAGAGACTGATGAGTCCTTCAGAGCACACCAGAACAAATAGCCTCCCCTATCCACTTTCACGTGTGCCCCGAGATGCTGCCAGAGTGGAAGCTATGGCATTACAGAGCATTGGTGGATAAGGCTGAGCACGCAAGGTGAGCCAACTGTTGTTGCTGTCTTTGCCGGTCAGGTGAAGATGTCTATGATTGGAAAACTGGCATCTTCCAAAATGTGGATGACAAATCTTCAAAATGGTCGACAAAGTTGGAAACCCTTGCTGCATCAAACCGGTGGACTTTCGCCAAGGCATGTTGAAAGCGCAGTAATCCACTTGATAAAGCTGCGCACCAGAATCCAAAAAAGAGCGGATTGTGGGAGTCAACCAAAGTCTAGAGGTCCACGGATTTTCCAAAACAAAGGCTATGTTATAAAACTTACATTGTGAAATGATCTGTTTTGATACATCCAGCAATGCGTTACCTTCTTGAACTTTCGTAACATCTCGCGACTTTAAGCCTGGCAGTCCTGACATAAGGAAAGTGGAATCATCTCGGAGAGGTGGAGGTCCAATGCCATCATGTTTTCTGGCCCTAGACCAGGAAGTGTATGGAGTGCCCAACCAAACTAATGCGATTTCATGTGCATGCCGCTCAATCCAAGCTAAAAGTTTCTGGAGATTCTGCGTTTGAAGCAAATCACAAGCATCATTGTAAATAATATCATAAGCAAAGGATACAAAACCGTGTGATGCCATGGCTCGTGATAAACGTGCACAACCGCTGAAAATCTCCAAGACATAGCGCGGCTGAGAAAAAGCTTTCACTGAAGGCCAAAAAGCTTTCGGGCCTTGGTCTCCAAGTCCTGCTGACTTTTCAGGCACTGGGTTTGCAGTGACTTGGGCAGGGCATGAAATTCTTGGCTCACTCGAGCATGCGCTTCGTATCGTTTGACCGACACATCTGCATTCCACCTTCCTCTTTGTTTCACTTCCAGGGGACTGCGTAATCTGCACAGCCGGTCGTGAGATGGTCCTGAGTGCCTTAGCTGATATAGTACTGCGTGACTTGTGCTGAGCCCTAACTTTACCAGGGTTTTCTTCCAAGTGTTTGCCATGTGGTTGTAGGTGATGTCGAACATGTCCATATTTGTTCGAGGCAGCTGTAAAAGCACCGCCCCCAACCAGGGCATTAGAGGACTGTCCAGAAGGAGGCTCTCATCTGAGAGCCCCACCTTTGACTGCTCTCTTCTTTCGGCAGGGTGCAGGTGCAGAGCAAAATGCGGCATTCCCGGAACTGGCTTCACTAAGTCTGAGATCTGTAGATCCAGACATTCTCCTGGACGAAGGTACGCGGAGAACATCAAGAGTGTTGCTGCCGCTGCTACGGACTCCTGCATGTTCAACATCTGGATCACCATGGCACACACCAGACCCCAAGGCAAAGGAGGCCTGGTTCGCTGCGGCTCCAGCTTTCCCCATCCCTGCAAAGCTCTGCGGGTCCTGGGCAATTGGCTCTTGCTTGAAAACTCTGGGTGGCTGTCGACGATGGCGGCTAAAGTTTTTGATCCGTCTTGAAGATCGAAGCCTAGCTCGAACAAATTGTTCAGAAACCAACAGCAGACCTCGTCGAACTTCTTCTTGTTTGACAGACTGACTTTCTTGGCCTTTGCGAAGGCCTTGAGGGCCTCCATCCTTTTCAGATAGTCCCGAGCCACGAGCTCTGAGACCGCAACCTTCTCTAAAGCCGTCTGCCCCGGAAAGCGAAAAGCATCTTGCCTTTCTGCCACCTTCAGCTTTCGAAAGTTGATCTTCTCCAGAGGATTCTTCGGAATGGAAATTTTCTGATGGGCCTTCAGGTGCGGCTTCTTCACTGCCCCCGTCGGCTCGGCTATCAACATTCCAGGGTAAGGGCATTTCATAGCAGACATGGTCAACGATTGCCTTCTTTTGCGTCTTTGAGGCTCCATTCTCAGCATGTTGAAGTCTAAGGTGTTCCCAACGCCGGGATCCCTTGTCAGAAACGTTCTTCTCACTTGGAATCCAGCGCACCGCCAAAAGGATATCCGCACACAAACTAAGAGCTGCTATTCTCCTACAAACCCTCAACATGCCAAAAGAACCTGATCTGCCCTTTGAGCAAAGAAGAACAACGCCCATGTTGTCGTTGAAATGTAAATGCTTCTTGCCAAATTCGTGCTTTGAACGCAACTTGTGACGCAAGGCTGCAACAATTCCCCGACCTTCAAGCAATGTGATATGTTCCGGCCTCTGCATATGTATTGAAAAAACATCATGCCATGAATCTTCTGCCATGACTTCATCAGGAACTTCCGGAAAAAACTCATCCAAGACAAACGGATCCCGCGCTACTTTTGCCAGAGGTTTGACGGTCTCTGGGTTGGAGAAAGGATCCAAATTTTTCAGAGCTGTTTCACGTGGCTTGACCTGATTGTTTGTTTTATATCGCCAAGACTCTTTAACACTGCCAACCAAGCTCTGAAGACTGACATCTAAGCTTCGCCTGCTCACTGCGATGCCTGACAGCGAAGCATCTGATGAAGTGACATCGCTGCTCCAGCATCTGCGTAGCTTCACACTGCAAAGTTTCAAAAGGTGAGAGGCCCAACGAGCTTCTTTTGCGGCAGAGTCCCATAACTTTGAACGGCTGTCATAGCTATGATGGATAAAGTCATACAAGGATCTAAAAATAGAAAGCAGGTCCCGTCTCAACATGCAAAAGTGGACAGCATGACCCAAAAGTTTCTCAACAGCCTTGCCTTTTACCCTCGGTCTTTTGGCAAGCCAAGCGAAAGCTTTGAGAACAAGCTGCAACCTTTCCGGAATTGGGCTGACCACTCCACTAACCCCATCAATATAGAAACCCAGGGATTGAGCTGTATCTGTTGCATCCAATTCCTCATGCACCCGAAAACCTGTTGCCCTCAATTTTGCTACAACCGTATCCTTGACATGTTGCACTCTATCCTGATCCAAGCCTGCCACGTTCAAGTTGTCGGCATAAGGTATGATAGCCACTTCACCGCCTTCCAAAGAGGGAGGCGGAACACCGTCAATGAGCAGTCTCGATGGGTCCAAACCGGTTGATTCCAACACTAAATTTTGGTGTATTCTTTGCGATAGATACATTGCCCAGCTCCACCCCATAGGGACCACCCGTAGCCTCGGCCAGAGCTGTCCATTGACGCCACTTCCAAAGCGAAGCTTCGGATCAACATTCCAGGCCTCGACCAAGTGGCAGGGAATAGGTGGCAAACAAAACAATGGCTGAAGTTGTTCGGGAAGTGCCAGGCTGTAAAAATAGTCTTTGATGTCGCTCTGAGCAACATACAACGTGCCCTTCTCGGGCATCACCAAATTTGACCATGAACTACCTGCCGCCAGTGCCAGCGGCGGTGGACTCTGGAAACGCCTGTTGACCTGTCTACAGTCTAGAATAAACCGGAGTCTGTTGTTCTTCTTACGAACGAAAAACGGTGTCACAAGGTCTGCTGGATGATCAGTAAAGTCTATCATACCCTTATCATGAAGATCCCTCACAAACTGCTGATATTGATTTGAATCATTCTGCAGTACTACATCCATGTATGGTCTAATCAAATCTCCATCCTCCATCAATTGTCCAAACTCATCCTCACTGAGCAGCATGCTGGCCAAGGGATCCTTCAACATATCTCGACCAACGCTGTCGATAACCTGGTCCATGGGAATGGGAGAAGCTCCACAATCAGGCAACGACACAAGGTCCCTCTGATAGGATCTGACCGTTGTTGAACCATCGTCCCCTGAGTAAGAGACGGCACTCTGCAGAAGCTCTTGGATAGCTTCACGCTCTGTACATGCCTTGCTCGACTGTTTCATACGACCAAGTTGTTGAAATATGCTGTGATGCACCGAGTCATGAACTTCCATGCGATGTGTCTGCACATGAGGTGATTTACCAGGAAGATACATCTCGTTTAAACACTGTATCACAGAATTAACATCCTCCACCCTTTGAGGAACCTTGGCCTGTCCCCTTCGTGAGCAAACAGAGGCACCTGGACGGGCTGGAGGAGAAGGTGAAAAAGGTAGGGGAAAAACATCTCGCCATCGGTCTTCATGAAACGATAGCCCTGGCTCCCCACCTTCAATCTCAAAATTTCTGCCACCCAAAGTGGATGGCACTGCGGCTGGAAAAACTGGCTCGCCGACAGAAGCCGCATCCACCGGCGAGCACCATGTGCTCATTTTGCGTCACCGCCGGAGGACTGGGCCTGATTCTTTCCGGCTCCCCTCCGACGGTTGTTCTCTTCCTCTCGAGCTTTTCGGGCCTCTTTGAGGATCGCTGCTTCATTCCGCAGCTCGGTTGCCACATGCGCGGCCAGGGCTGCGTCGATCACTTGGCCACCCTTCTTGTATCGCCATCCCATCATGTGATCACTGGCTGAGTAATCTGGATTGGATGGGCTGATGCGATGAGCTTCTCGAATAACTTGCATTCGACGAACCAGCAATTCTGCAGCTTGAAGTGAGCAAACGTTCAATTGGTCCACAGTGACCATGGACTCCAAAATTCTGGACAGCACTTCGTGTTCGTATACAGATCTGTTTCCTTTGGGGATTTCTGAACTACGCAACCAGTACTCATGAAAAGTAGTGGGTGTGAAATTCTGATCCCTCAAAGCTTTCAAGATATTCAATGATGTCGTTGGCCCATCCAGTTGAAGGCCACCCCCCTGGGGAGTACCCTCCACCATATCCGCAACACCGCCATTGAAGTCTCGCCTGCGAACACCTTGGGCATCAAACTTGATGGGAAGAATGCGCAAATCATCAAGTTGGTATCCAGCTGCATCCTGCTGATTCACTTTTCTCACAAAACAGCCATCCACTCCACCCAAAAGATCCGGAACAACTCCATGATTCCCTAACACAACTGAGCCGACTGGCAAAGCTGCAGGATCTATGCACACGATGTCTCCCTTCTTTCGCCCCCCCGCGGTCTCAACGCAAACCCACACCTGCGTTTGAGGAACCGCTGCACCTGGGGCAGCCGGTGGCATTGGGGCCACTGCAGGTACCACCGGCGCAGCCATTCCCAAAACACCAGGCGGTTGTGGAGGTGGCAAGGGGGCAACCGGAGCAACCACACCAACTGCCGCAGGAGCTCCTGCAGGAGCCAAAGGTGGCAGCCCTCGAGAAACTCGGATAGCATTGGCCTCAACCTTGGCTTGTCGGACCTCACCTGCCAAGAAAGCGGGATCCAATGGCGCAAAACCATACACCGCGGCAGCTGGGATGTGCCCTGGGATGTTGGGATTGTCTCCAAGAAACTCAAAGCCAACATAGTCAGGATTAAATTGATCCAATTGTTCCTCATATCTATCATAGTCAGGCGTCAAGATAATCCATGATGAACCCGTGGTTGGGGCCAACAGCAGGCGTGCGTGCCAAACCACCGGAGCTTCTCCGTAGTTGACCAGGGCAAGCTGCCCGCTTTCCATGATCTCAACCGGTGAGTGTCAGCACCTTCCCTTGGGTCCCAAACACACCTTTTCGACCCTTAGCAGAAGTAGGACTGGTAGTCTGGGATAGATAGACACGATGGTACCACAAGGTCGCCAATCCACCCAAAATCCCAACTCCAATCACAAGAATCAAAATGGTGCCCACACCCAGGGAACTCTCGCAAGCGCAATTGCACTGGCACAAACACTGACAAGGACTGCAAATCGGATCACTCTGCAATGCCCTCATCGTCCAACCAATGCAAAATGCCACTGCGCCCACTGTCAAATGGGTTTCCATGACACATTCGACCCTCAAGCACTTGAGGATAAGATATAGCGGCACTAATGCTTTCGACTCATCATTCCATTGCAAGCAAACTACATATATATGTATATATATATGTATATATATATATGTATATATAATATATATATATAATATATATATATGTGTGTGTGTGTGGCATGACCAGAATGAATGGGATTCCCAGCCATGGCAACATCTAAAGAGGAATGGCAATGGGCTATCCAACCTTTGGTCAACCCAACTATGTGTGGAATAAGGAAAATATTGGGTTTCACCAGTGATTATGGAGGTTTCTTGTGCAAATGGTCCCTTGAACTGCTTCATGTTGGGTAAAATATGCTGAAAATGTCGTACTTGCTGTAAGATCTTGCCAAGGAAAACCAACTATACTGATGGCCCAAAACTGGTGGTTTCAACCGGGTGTACACACGTCACTTGAGCCATGAAAGCTAGCCAAAAATCCCATATCCCATCCCATGAAATACGGTTCTCAAAATCCCCAATAAAGCCGGCATGGAAATAACCCGCTATTTCATAACCAATCAACCCTTTTTTTAAAGGAGGTCATCTTCCCTTTTTGTTGGGTCCAGCCAATGATTGCCCATCAAAATATCCCGCTCTATCTGGGCTGGGCTTGTTTTCCCTAGCATTTCACTATATGCTTAAGTAGGGCTAGTTCAGCTATTTATGGTTCAGCCATTGGGGGTGAGAAACTCGGGATCAATGGATTGAGGAGCCAAGCAACATTGCAGCACTGGGTGGCTTCACGTTTCGCAGCACTGGCCTGGGGGAGGAGAACTCAGGATGTTTGAACCATTTTTGATGGATCAAACTCTCTACCCACCATCATTTCCAACCCACCCACCTCTCACCCTAAACCCCTGGGAAAACTAACATGTAGCCTTCTAAATAACGGCTTTGGAATCACGTGATGCTCCAAAAACCGACAAAGTTGTTGGGCTTCCGTGACTTCCGTGGTCCATTTTCAGGTGTTTTTGGGGTATGTTCCGTGAGTATCCACTTAAACCCTATCAAATCTCAGTAACCTCCATACCATGCCCATATATCATGGGCATCTTATCATATTATCCCCATCTCGGCTGGTTCCATGGTCTGCTCAAAGGGCTATCCCATCCCATCTGACCCCCTGCGCACCTCAGAAATGGCCCTGCCACACAGCACCAGGCGCCTCAACTGTGAGCGATTGCACCAGCACGAGAAAGCGCTGCGCAGCAACAGCTCGTCGCGCAAGGAGAGCACCTGCTTCACCTGGCGGCTCGGCAGTTGTAGACACAGAAAAATGGGTTCATCAACAGCTTGGAAGGACAAGATATGGTGAAAATTGGACCCACAAATGGCTGATGGTTGGTGAAATTCAAGATCTGATCCCGCAAAAATTCGGATTCAAACACCCAAAATGTGGAGTTCAACCCGCAAAAATTGCAAATTGACAGACATTTAGAATGATAAATTCACCAGTCGACAGGGGATCCCCACCTGCCGAATGGCCCGCACCCGTCGCCGCGCGCGGCGCAACATCCACAGCCGCTGCAGGTACGGCGGCGACGCCGCCGTGGCGGGCGCGGCACCACCCGAGAGGAGCAGGTTGGCCACGGCGTGGGCACGTTGGAAGGCTGGCGCCTGCTGGGTTATCAGATGTGTTTTTTCTAAGGATAAAAACGGAAAAACCATGGAAACCCCGTGGCAAACCATGGAAAAACTATGGTAAAACACTGCAAAACCATGGAAGAACTATGGTAAAACACTGCAAAATCATGGAAGAACCATGGAAGACCCCCCCTGTTTACAAACTTGGGGATTCCCTGACGTTTCCAATAAATTTTGGGGATTAAAAAACCTGCTCCGGGAATTGGGGAGAGCCACGGGTCGTAAATGAGGTTGATGATGTTGGTGATCCTAGGTCCTCAATTCGTCAGGATCCACAAAATTGGCACTTCACGCCACAATTTTTCGGGGACATTCGCCTTTTGGAACATTTGGAATTGACATGAATTGACCAATTCGATCTTCGCCATGTTTGATACCCTCTGGTAAACGTTTACATAACTATGGAAAATCACCATTTTCTAGCTGGGAAAATCCACAAAAAAAATCACAATTTTCAATAGCAAACTGTAAACGTTTACCAGAGGGTATATCCCATTAATATCCCATTGAATCACTATAAAATCCCATTAAATCACTATAAATCCTATTTTTCATGGAAATCTGGACCCGGCAATGCTTCACACCTCAGACTGCACAGGTCCATCAGGGCCACCCAGCAGCAGCGTGGCCACCTCCACTGCGGCCGCTTCTTGGCACAGCTCACTGAGGTCGCGGCAGGGGTCGCTACCTGAAACCGCAACAGGGCGGCAAAGAAGGGCTAAAACTCAGGGAAATCTTGGGAAAATTTAGAGAAACTGTGGAAAAAATCTGGAAAATTGAAAAAGAGGACCAACTCAGAAAACTGATGAAAAATTGAAAAACAACTCCGGAAAGACTTGAGCCTAATTTTTTGGGGGGGACCGGATGTAAGCAGCTAAAACTGGATTTGGTGGAAAGCAAACCAAAAAGTGCGGATTTACCCAGTAAATAAAAGAGGGTGTAAACGAAGAATGGTTCAATCATCGTAGCGAAATGTGTGCCTTTCACCCAAGCAAACAAAAGGAGGTGTAATCTATCAAGCAACAAACAAACTGGATTTAACCAACAAACATTGAGATAAAGCCAGCTTTGTGTGGAATAGTTTGATATCATCAAAAATGAAGACATCGATCAGCGAAAATGGAAGATCTACCATCTACCAAGAAAATAAATTTGAAAAATATGTGACCATTTGAAAGCCAAAAACCCAGTATATGTGATGTGATAGATCGGGCGAAAAAAGGGCATAAACATATATATATAGAGAGATACATAATATAGATACAAATACAGATATAAATATGGAGTAAATCAATGTGGCTATCACCATCAATGGGGGTTTCTTAAAATGGATCCCCAGTCGTCACCATAGGTTTCAATACTAAGTCATGGTCGAATCTTGAATGATTTGGGGGTACCTCCATGACTTAGGAAAACTCCAAATGTCCAAAACCTGTGCTGCTCCAAGTTTCTCCTTTCAGCGAAGCGTACCGAGCCGGGCCGTTCAGGGCTTGTGGCAGCAACTGGTGGGGTGGCCACATGCCGTTTCCTGCGGCTGTCGGTCAAAAAGATCGGCATCGACGGAAACGTGATGGGGTGATAGGGTTGCTTTCCTAGCAACCAAATTAACCATACTTGGTGTTTCATCCTACGTAGCAAGTCGATTATGTGTCTTTTTGAATGGGCTAAACAAACTAAACCGATTTACAACCAAAATTATCCAAAATTGTAAGCTCTGGCATGAAGCAACAAGTCCTTTTCTTGAAACTAACGGGGAATCCTGATATTAGATCACGTTCAGACCCAGAAAATCGGGACGTTCAAACCCATGACATGTGAGGGTTCCATGGTAGTCTTCAGATGATACATCAATTCAAATCTGGGTTCGGTTCAATCCGGCGGGGAGGTTCTTTTTTGAACTATCCAATTATCCAAGTTTGGAAATATCGCGAACAAGAATGTGGTTCCATCTCTACAACACGGGCAGGTAGTAAGAATAAAGTTAACGAAAGCGTTGCTGTTTGATAGTCCAAACTGTCGAAATCTGCGGAGTCAGCGATTCTATTTTCGCGCTACATCCTGAACTTCCTAGACGTTTGGGACCTGGGCCCGCCATGAAATTTCGCAAATGTGCCACAGTGACCAAAGCCAATCGCAAGGCGAAAACAAACCCACGAACCTGAACAGCCCGTGACAAAGTAGGCTACATGATTGAAGTCGCACAAGGCTGCATGATGCAGCACACAAAACAAATGGCGCCCCACTAAGTAGACGAGACGGCAACAGCCATAGTAAACAAGCAATGGAAAAAGGACATTCATGGGTTCAGATTAACGCGGCAAGAATGAGCAATATTTCGTTGAACACCTGAGGGAATCACTAAACAGAAGAACGGGTTGCACAGAAAGGCTAATGCTGTAGGCTTTATTATGTCGTCGTAATCATATACGGCCGAAACCTGCAGCCTCCATGTGAGAATCCCAGAATCGTTTACAAAACGGCGTCTCAATTTTGATTGCTTGCTTGGAACATGATGAACCTTGCAGCGTGGCTCACTCACAGATTTTCCTTCTCCATCCTGCGCACATGTTCTCAAAAGATCCGGGCCTTGTAAGGAGAAACGATTGTCATGCACATCATTTGATCAGCTCGTTGAGGCAGTGGCTAAAAAAAAAGGGCGCCGGCAAGCACAGGCAGAATCCACCGGGCACAAAAATCATAGGCAAAACAAGCGCGCAACAGTGGAAAAAAACTCGGCAAGGTGCTCCGGAGGAGGCCGTAGTCCGGCAACTCCTCGGCCCTGGCCCACGGCAGTCGTCCCAAAAGGACCCCAGCCGCGGGCATTCTTCAGCGAGCTCCTGCCAGCAGGGGTTGACAACAAGCACATCGCAGTGATGAACTCCTCCTGCCTCCGCGCAGGTGGCCACCTTCCGCATGATCTTTTGGCCAATCCTTGGACCGCTTCAATCTTCGGAAGAAAAGCTGGGTGCCAGCTCCCTTAGATGCGGCCAAAGGCTCTCATCCTCCTCGTCCCACGGAAGGGAGCCCGTCAGGAGGTAAAGAAGAACCTTTGTGCCACGGCCAGGTTCCAAAAAGCGTAGCCCATGATCTTGTACAGAGACTCCGCATCGTCCCGGAAGCTCTGCTCCATGCCCAAGTGGGCATTGACCTTATACTGGGGTTGGAAGGGCCCATTAGGCCACAACAGGAAATACACGGACACAAACACACCCATGCAGACACACGCACACACACACACCAAGAAGAACAACAAAAACAACCCGCCGGACCAGAAACCGTGCTCGTAAAACGCACGTTTTTTTCAAAAAAATGTGATTTTACCACAGTGTCGTGCTGATTTGATGATTTGTCATCCTGGAAAAACTTGAGGCGCATTTTTTGGCTTTTCACCGTCATCAGCAGCATAGTACGAAGTAACGTAGCAACGACCCCAGAGATCTCAGCAGCGTAGTACGAAGTAACGTAGCAACTTTCCCAGAGAATTCAGCAGCGTAGTACGAAGTAACGTAGCAACGATCCCAGAGATCTCAGCAGCGCAGCACACTATAATGTACGAAGTACAAGGAACGTTGACATGCCCCCCCCCACCCCACCCCACCCCACCCCATCAGCAGCGTAGTAACAAGTAACGTAGCAACGATCCCAGAGATCTCAGCAGCACAGCACACTACAATGTACGAAGTACAAGGAACGTTGACACCCCACCCCATCAGCAGCGCAGTAACAAGTAACGTAGCAACGATCCCAGAGATCTCAGCAGCGTAGCACACTATAATGTACGAAGTACAAGGAACGTTGACATGCCCCCCCCACCCCACCCCACCCCAAAAACGTGCGTTTTACGAGCACGGTTTTCGGTCCGCAGGCAAAAACAACAACACAACAACACAACCCACAACAAAACCAAAACAGCAGCCCGACAGGACCAAACAAAACAAGCAGAGCAATCCACCAAGCGCAGCTGGGGTCTGCACGCTTGCCCACTGGACAGCACCAGTGAAGGACACAGCCCCGGGACGAAAGTCTTCCATCCTGACAAATGTCTTGAAATTACTGACATCTGTTCCCACATTGATTCCGATGTCCGGTCTTCCTTTCCTCCGTGGCCAGTCCATGAGAGAAACCTTCGACACCTTCGACACCTTCGACACCTTCGACACCTTCGACACCTTCGTTCAGACTGGATTCCACTCTATGCATGCTATCTTGCCTTGAGGAGGAAATTCTCAGGCTTGATAGCGCGGTGAACGATACCTTTGAGATGGAGGTGGCGGATCCTCGTTGAGGCCGTCAAAGACCGGGATTTATTCAAAAATGGTGGTAGAGTAGGGATAGAGTATAGGGAAAGAGTAGGGATAGAGTACCAGTAGTACCACACAAGGCGGTGGCGGAAGTTTCAAAAATAGGAAACCTATAGGAGAGATTGGTTGTTGTGAATCAGGGATGGCAGAGCGAAGCCACTGATGGAGCGAAAGGTGATTGATCTCTCTCACTATTTCTCTCTCTTTCTCTGACAACCTACCTATCTACCTACCTACCTACCTATCTATCTATCTATCTATCTCTATCTATCTCTATCTCTCTCTCTCTCTCTCTCCTTCATTTGTCTAGCTGTCTACCTGTCTATCTGTCTATCTATCTGTCTACCTGTCTTTCTGTGGTGCAGTGTCATTCCGTGTAATGTAGTGTAGTGTAATGTAGTGTAGTGTAGTGGAGTGTAGTGTAGTGTAGTGTAATGTAGTGTAGTCTAATTTAGTGTAGTGTAATTTAGCGTAGTGGAGTGTAGTGGAGTGTAGTTGTGTAGTTGTAGTTGTAGTTGTAGTGTAGTGGAGTGTAGTGTAATGTAGTGAAGTGTAGTGGAAGGTAGTGTAGTGTAGTGTAATGTAGTGTAGTGGAGTGGAGTGGAGTGTAGTGCAGTGTAGTGTAATTTAGTGTAGTGGAGTGTAGTCGAGTGTAGTGGAGTGTAGCGGAGTGTAGTGGAGTGTAGTTGTGTAGTTGTAGTTGTAGTGTTGTGGAGTGTAGTGTCATGTAGTGTAGTGTAGTGGAGTGTAGTGTATGTAGTGTAGTCTAGTGAAGCGAAGCGAAGCGAAGCGACATCTGAACCTCCAAAAGTGGTCCGAACCCCTAGTGTTTTTAACATTTTGACTTCGAAATGTGCTTCGCGCCACAACGGCGTGCACTTTTTCGAGATCTGAACTTCCAAAAGTGGTCCGAACCCCTTGTGTTTTTAACATTTTGACTTCCAAATGTGCTTTGCGCCACAACGGCGTGCACTTTTTCGAGATCTGAACTTCCAAAAGTTGTCCGATGCTGGTGTGCTTTGTACATTTTGACTTCCAAATGAGCGGCGTCGAAAACCGGGTAGCGATTTGGTTCTAATCCTTAGAAGCTTTCGCGACGGCTTTCGCGGTTCTTTCGCGGGCACAGTTTTGTCTTTCGCGGCGACATGTGTTTCGTAATATCTTTCGCGGTTGCTTTCGCGGAAAATTGCCCGTAAATGATGGTGCACATGAATATTCAAATGTGCTTCTACTATCTACCTGCTTTCGCCACTGCTTTCGCGGCTCGACCTTGACGCACCCCTTTCGCGGAGCTTTCGCGCGGCTTTCGCGCGTGGAGGTTTTGCTTTCGCGGGGGGTTCCCCACATGAACCCGAATACTAAATCCCTTCATGGAGGTTTTTGATGCTGCTCAAATGTGCTTCGCGCCACAACGGCGTGCACTTTTTCGACATCTCAACTGCCAAAAGTGGTCCGAAGCTGGTGTGCTTTGTACATTTTGACTTGGAAATGTGCTTCGCGCCACAACGGCGTGCACTTTTTCGACATCTCAACTTCCAAAACTGCTCCGGACCCCTCAGTTTTTATCACATTTTACTTCCAAATGTGTTTCGCACCACAACGGCATGCACTTTTTCGACATCGCAACTTCCAAAAGCGGTCCGACGCTGAGGTGTTTTGTACATTTTGACTTGGAAATGTGCTTCGCGCCACAACGGCGTGCAATTTTTCATCTCTCATCTGGCCAACTGGCTCTGCACCCGCCGCTTTAGCGAGCCTACTTTTCGACCCTCCGGAGCCCCAAATCATTGGAAAAACACGGTGTTTCGCGACTTTCCTACCTTTTCGCGCATCTGCATCTTCTTTCTTCTGAGTCTTTCTCTTCTTCTCTTCTCTCTTCTAATCTTTCTCTTCTCTCTGCCTCTTCCCTGCTCTGCTTTTCATCTGTCCATATTGTCGGAAGTTTGACTTCTAAACTTCCTTCGATAAATACTGTTGACCAGATTTGTGGCCATAATATTGTCAAGTATGTTTAAGTACATTGGGGGTTCTTAAAATGGGGCATCCACACTTCACCATGGTTGCTTCAATACTAACTCATGGCCCACTGACTTGGATGATTTGGGGCTACCCCCATGACTTCGGGAACCTCGATATCATAACTAGCGATTCAACCAACAAAAATTCGGGGGTATCACGTCTAAAACTAGCCATTTGATGGTTTGAAATAGTTGTTAGTTGGAGGTTTTCCTAAAATATGGGCGACCCCAGATCAGAAGAACGAGTTGCACAAGCGCCGCTTGGCTCACAGATTTTCCTTCTGTGCCAATGTTCTCACAAGATCCAAGCCTCCAAGCTGCAAGAGTAAGAAAAATGAATGTCATGCACATCATTTTCTCAGCTCGTTGTCGTTGAGGCCGTGGCCAAAGAGGGGCACCAGCACGAGCATGCAGAATCATCCACCTGCCAAAAAAAAGTATTGGGAGAAAAAACGTGCAACAACAGGGGGAAAAAAAAACTCACCAAGATACTCCGGAGGAGGCCGTAATGCGGCAGCTCCTCCGGCCCTAGCCCACGGCAGTGGTCCCAGAAGGACCCCAGCCGCGGGCATTCTTCAGCGAGCTCCTGCCAGCAGGCGTTGACAACAAGCACATCGCAGTGATGAACTCCTCCTGCCTCCACGCTGACCACCTTCCACATGATCTTTTGGCCAATCCCTGGACCGCTTCAATCTTCGGAAGAAAAGCTGGGTGCCAGCTCCCTTAGATGCGGCCAAAGGCTCTCATCCTCCTCGTCCCACGGAAGGGAGCCCGTCAGGAGGTAAAGAAGAACCTTTGTGCCACGACCGCACGAACCCCAGACCAAGTTCCAAAAAGCGTAGCCATCCTTGCCAAGGAGCATAGCACAGGGACTCCGCATCGTCCCGGAAGCTTTGCTCCACGCCCAAGTGGGCATTGACCTTATACTGGGGTTGGAAGGACCCAATACGCCACAACAAGAAATACACGGACACAAACACACCCATAGAGACACACGCAAACCAAGAAAAAACAAAAACGAACAAACAAAACAACACAACACAACCCACAACAAAACCAAAACAGCATCCTGACAAATGTCTTGAAATTACTAAAGACATCTATTCCCACGTTGATTCTGATGTCCGGTCCTCCTTTCTTCCGTGGCCAGTCCAAAATCGATCAAATAGACCACGCCGGCCTCCCATCCAGTCTGAACGACACCTTTTGTTCAGACTGGATTCCACTCTTCGCATGCTATCTTGCCTTTAGGAGGAAATTTTTCAGGCCCGATATCTGGGTGCAAGACGCCTTTGAGGTGGATGTGGTGGATCCTCGCCGTGGGGCAGAACCCGACATGAGAAGTGGGATGCGCCAAGTGAATTTCTGTGAAGGGCCACGCGGGCGTGACAGCAAAAGCTGCTTGCTAGCATGGACGGACTCTGTGTGTAGAAGCTGCTCTGTGTAAATGCTGCTTTGTGTAGCTGCTCTTTAAAATGATGGGAGAATCCTCGAAAAATATGGGACACTCCCAGAACTCAATGGAGATTTAAGCTGCGAAACTAGACGAGGGATGGCCCGAGAGCGTAGAGGAGCAGGGTCTTCTGTTGTTAGTATTGAGACAGTATATTACAAGATAATATATTAAAGATGTATTATAGGCAGACGAGAAAAGTAGTATCAAGACAATATATTACAAGTACAGGACAATAGTTTGCATCCTATCCTCCCTACAGTTTTTCACACACAGAACCTTTTACAATTTTACACACAGACGCTTTTGCACACAGACGCTTTTACACAGACGCTTTTACACAGAAGCATTTACACACAGACACTTTTACACACAGACGCTTTTACACGCAGACACTTTTACACACAGGCACTTTTACACACAGACGCTTTTACACGCAGAACCTTTTACACACAGGCACTTTTACACACAGACACTTTTACAATCAGAAGCTTTTACACACAGACACTTTTACACACAGAAGCTTTTACACACAGACACTTTTACACACAGAAGCTTTTACACACAGAAGCTTTTACACACAGAACCTTTTACACGCAGAACCTTTTTACACACAGAAGCTTTTTACACGCAAACGGTTTTGCACACAGATTTTTTTACACACAGACACTTTTACACACAGAAGCTTTTACACACAGACACTTTTACACACAGAAACTTTTACACGCAGGAGCTTTTACACACAGAAGCTTTTACACACACAAGCTTTTACACACAGGCGCTTTTACACACAGACGCTTTCACACACAGAAGCTTTTTACACGCAGACCCTTTTGCACAGAGAAGCTTTTACATACAGAAGCTTTTACACACAGACACTTTTACACACAGAAGCTTTTACACAGAGAAGCTTTTACACACAGACGCTTTTACACACAGAACCTTTTACACACAGAAGCTTTTTACACGCAGAAGCTTTTGCACACAGGAGCTTTTACACACAGGAGCTTTTACACACAGATGCTTTTACACACAGAAGCTTTTACACACAGACACTTTTACACACAGAAGCTTGTACACACAGACATTTTTACACACAGAAGCTTTTACACGCAGGAGCTTTTACACACAGACACGTTTTGCACACGGAAGTACCATTTTACTTCAGTTTTTGGCGATCGAACCTCGGAAGTTTGACTTCTAAACTTCCTTCGTGAAAAAAAATAGGATTTCGATAGCTAAACAAAGAGAAACGGAAAATGGACTAGGCACTTGGCTGCACCATATTTCGACAGGAAATCTTCCTCGCAAGCAGTCCAATCATGATACTTCTTGTGCATGTTCTGCACCAACTCGCACATGGCCCGCAAAGTGGTTTCGCGAAACCGGTTGCTTTCCTGAATGTGGGCCATAGACAGCAATCATGCTGGAGCGTAATATACGGCCGAAACCTGCAGCCTCCATGTGAATTCCCAGCATTGTTGACAAAACGGTGTCTCAATTTTGATTGCTTGCTTGGAACATGATGAACCTTGCAGCGCGGCTGACTCACAGATTTTCCTTCTCCATCCTGCGCACATGTTCTCAAAAGATCCGGGCCTTGTAAGGAGAAACGAATGTCATGCACAAAATTTGATCAGCTCGTTGAGGCAGTGGCGAAAAAAAAAGGGTGCCGGCAAGCACAGGTAGAATCCACTGGGCACAAAAATCATAGGCAAAACAAGCGCGCAACGGGGGAAAAAAAAACTCACCAAGATACTCCGGAGGAGGCCGTAATCCGCCAGCTCCTCCGGCCCTAGCCCACGGCAGTGGTCCCAGAAGGACCCCAGCCGCGGGCATTCTTCAGCGAGCTCCTGCCAGCAGGGGTTGACAACAAGCACGTCGCAGTGATGAACTCCTCCTGCCTCCGCGCAGGTGGCCACCTTCCGGACGATCTTCTCGCCAATCCTTGGACCGCTTCAATCTTCAGAAGAAAAGCTGGGTGCCAGCTCCCTTAGATGCGGCCAAAGGCTCTCATCCTCCTCGTCCCACGGAAGGGAGCCCGTCAAAAGCTCGTGCTCCATGCCCAAGTGGGCACTGACCTTCTACTGGGGTTGGAAAGGTCCAGTAGGCCACAACAGGAAATACACGGACACAAACACACCCATGCAGACACACACACACACACCAAGAAAAACAACAAAAACAACACAACACAACAACAAAACCAAAACAGCAGCCTGAGAGGACAGAACAAACAATCTGCAAAACTCCAGCTCGCAGGAGTGCATTTCACAGGCCGGCGCCAATCTTTAAAACAATGATGTGCAAACACATGCAAGTGTGCATGACAATGACTTTTAGTCTGTAAAAAAGAATGTCTTATATGTATACATATGGCTAACTTTTTTACACCTATAAATATTTATTGTCTATACATATACGTATATATACACATGTGTATCTTATGTTTTTTTAAGTCAGTGTCTCTTATGTATGGACATATCTCTCTACATGAATATATGTATCTATATATAGTATATGTATGTGTCGATAGAGTGTATACATATATATATATATGTGTGTGTGTGTCTGTATTTCTGGTGAATATTTATATATATATATATGTGTGTATATACGTATATATATATATCATGGAGTAAGGGGGAAAGTTTGAGGGGGGTCTAAGCTTATCATTTAAGCTCCTGATAAGGCTGGGAAATGATAAACCCCTATTAAGGCCATTTACGGTCTTATGAACCCTTATTATGGGTTTACTAAGGCTTACTAAGGGGTTATCCTTTAAGGCCTTATTAAGGTCTGATTCCCCATGGATAGCTGAACTTCCTTATCCAATGCGTATTGAAAGGGATGGGTGATCTAAGCCACAACACAAATGGCCTTAGGATGTTTGCAGTGATTGCAATGTGTGCTCATTATTTTTCCTCAATTTTGGCAATTTTGGCAATTTGGGGCCCTGAGGGGTCATTTTGGGGGGTCGGCAAATAGCTTGGTGATTCTGGCTTAGGGCTTCTCCTAGGCTTATCATTTAAGCCTTGGATAAAGCCCCTATTAAGCCTTAGCATTTCGCCCCCCAACCCCCCAAAATCCAGGTCAAACCTTTCTGAGAATGATCATCCTTAACCATGGCTTATCCAGCCTTATCCATAAGCCCCCCTAGCCTCCCCCATTCCATGAATACCTTGACTGCTTTCCCAATTGATATCAGTTCCCAACACTGACAGAAGTACACACCTGCAATGTGATAGGATGCTCTAGGCATATAAATGTTGGACAAGCGTGGGGTATTTTGCATGTTTCTATCTGTTGTTTTTGCAACCATTTTGTTTTCCAGCTGTTTTTTTCCTTTTTGGCATTCCATCTGTTGTCTTCCGTAAAAAGAATAATTTCGACACCTGATCTAGGTACAAGCCCGTGAGTATACAACATGGGTAGGTAGCAAGGATAAAGTTGACAAAAGCTTGGCTGTTTGATACTCAAAAAAGTCGAAATCTGCGGAGTCAGCGATCCTAATTCTTGACTCATAGACATGCCTTTTTTCGCGCTACATCCTAGACTTCCTAGATGTTGGGCCCGTCATGAAATTTCGCAGGAATCCCGTTTTTGGATGACAACCAAGTTCTGGCAAAACGAAATTTAGCCACAGTGACCTAAGCCAATCATAAGGTGAAAACAAACCCACGAACCTGAACAGCCACAGTAGGAGGCTTGACAATCAGAAGAAATTTTACTAGTGAGAGCAATAAATCATGTGCACAGCTGGTCAGAAATCATCTATTCTCATGGTGTTTTTTCATTCAACCACTTCAATTTAAGGACACCGCCAAAAGTGGTTAACCAAATCGAGGATTGATCATCCCATGCTAGACAGACCTTGGCTGGACCCTCAAACCCTAAGCCCATTAAATCCTATATGTGAAAGGAACATCCCGATGAATCCAACCCAACCCCAAGACATCCAAGACCCAATATCAAATTCTTGCTTTATCACATGGCATCTCACAACATAAGACATCCCATTGTTGGCTGGTCTCAAAACCCAAGTACCGATACCCCCTGGGCCGTTCACATAAAATCACTGGTAGCCAGCTGGATGTTCATCCCATGGGAAGATCATTGGGTTGGCCTCCAAACCCCAAAGCCCGTACCAATTAAGACCAATTAATACCAATGGTCTCTAATCTTCACGTTATATATATATATATTATAAAAATTAAAAAAATGCCATAGTACTATTGTCAGTTCGATTTTTCTGGGTCTTTCAAAAAAAATGTGGTTGGCCCCCAAAATAGATCCAAATGGTAGTCTCTTTGTGTGGAAAATCATGATCAACCACCAGCAATCCCATGTCCATAAATCCAAGCATGCTGTATTTATCAACCAACTGACCTATCATAAAATCAACTGACTAAACCACCATGCTTGGTGAAATCCCAAGATTTGTTGGTGAAATCCCATGTCTTGTTGGTGAAGACCCGCCATCCATAAATGGCTACAAATCACTGGGCATCCCGTACCCAGTTCCACATCTACGCGGCGTCTGAGGCGTCTGAGGCGTGTGAGCCCGCAGGGTCACGGGGCTCGATGGCACCTTAGAGGTCTAGCAGTGAATTCTATGGACATTTCAGGTACCAATCTATTGAATCCACTAAAGATATTGATGGGATTTGTTCAAAAAATATGGAATTTGCCAGGGTTTATGGGAGTAGAAAGGAAAATCATGGGGATATCCTGGGATATTTTTCACACACAATCTGATATTTGAGTGTGTCTGGAAATAGGGCCTACCCCAAAAATTAGCTATTTCATATGGAAGATGATGACAAACCATGGGAAACTATGGGAAACTACAGGATAGCCAATTTTCAGACAAACCTATTTGGGATTTACACCAGCTTATAGCTATTTGAATAGGTAAAAGGATGATAAACATTGATAAACCATGAAATATCTGTGCTGGAAAGATGGGCTGTGGTTACTTAACTGTAGCTAACTGGTTTGCAACTGGGTCAGTACTTAGCTCACCCCTTTTTATTGGGCATATTTTTATGGGTTATAACCCAGCTACTAAACAGGAAACTGGCGCCATGGCCTATCTTAGTAGACTAAAAAAGGGGTGCCAAACAGTCTACAAAAGGCACCCGGGGGCTTCCTGAACTGGGGATACCCCAAAATGGATGGTTTATAATGGAAAATTCTATTAAAATGTATGATTTGAGGGTACCCCCATTTTAGGAAACCTCCACGTCTATTTACCCATCCCAGATTTTGGGCGCCATTTTTTGCCTGAGAAAGCATCAGGGGGGTTCAAACAGCAAGATGCAAATCACTTGATGAAGTGAAACTGTTGATATACTGTGGATGGAAGAAATGGAAGAAATCCTGCATCACCAAACGGATGGCTGAGACCCCAACAAAATAATGGAATATATAAACCATCTATCAACTGGCGCAGGATTTCGCAACCATCCACCGTATGCATATTATATAATATATATATATATACCAGAAAAATGGTGAGGCTTGCCATTGAAAATGTCAGCGGAAACCAAATTATTCACCATCAAAATCCAGGCGTTCCGGAAATATTTTTTCGGACAATGCTCAGCTTCAAAGACAATATGATGCATAGCCAGCAAAAACGGAGGACTCACCATATCCAACCAAATCAATGAATGAACGAACGAACGAATAAATATGGATACGCATCTACAACTATATACCAACACTCATGTCTATCAACAAGCATGGCGCCATCATGGTGGTTTTTCGCCAACGGAAATGGGATAGAACGATCAACAAAACCCTTCAACTCACCAAGTATTGCCAGTAGGCTACGGCCAAGTTGAACTACCAAATTTCACCGATGGTTGAAGCTGATTTGTAGCTGATTCTTTGACTCAATCAGAATTGGTGCCAACAAAAATGGCCAAATCCATCCACATTGGCCCGTTCGATTTTACCAATCGATGTTGCCCAAGAACGAAACAAACGACCGATCGATTTGGCTGAGCTGGCTGCGCGACTGCGAGTTGAACTGGACCGAGTTCCAGGATTCCTGGCTCAAGGGGGATGCCGATGTCGATCGCTCGGTCGGGCGGTAGGTATATATGTACATATGTCTGTAATGACATGAAATATGTAAATATATAAATATACATATGTTATATATGTATACACGTACATATGTGGTGCGCGTGGATGTATAATCGAAGGAAGTTTAGAAGTCAACTTTCCGACAATATGGACAGATGAAAAGCAGAGATGGGAAGAGAAGAAGAAAGAAGATCAAAAAGAGAAAGTCTCCGAAGAAAGAAGATCCAGGTGCGCGAAAAGGTAGGAAAGTCGCGAAACATTATGTTTTTCCAATGATTTGTGGCTCTGGAGGGTCGAAAAGTAGGCTCGCTAAAGCGGCGGGTTTCGAAGTCAAAATGTACAAAACACGCCACGTCCGGACCACTTTTGGAAGTTGAGATGTCGAAAAAGTGCACGCCGTTGTGGTGCGAAGCACATTTCGAAGTCAAAAGTGCAAAAAACTGTGGGGTACGGAGCACTTTTGGACGTTCAGATGTCGTTTCACGTGGCAGGTGCAAGGGATTGTGCACCTTGTCAAAAGTGAGCAAAACGTGAGAGTTTTGTAGCATTTCCAAAACGTGGCAGGCGCAGCACTTTACACAGATGGAGTGGAAAATCGCAAAACGCATTGGTGCGAGGTCGTCAGCTCTGCACTCAACTTTCAATTTTTGAAGGATGTCTCGCAGAATGGTTTCGTTTTTGACGTTGTCAACTTCTAAAATTGAGGAAGTCTCGCAGAATTGTCTCGTTTTTGATGTTGTCAAGTTCAAAAATTGAGGAAGGCTCGTCGACATTGTTCTTCGTTTTTGATGTTGTCAAGTTCAAAAATTGAGGAAGTCTCGCATAATTGCTTCGTTTTGGATGTTGCCAAGTTCAAAATTGAAGAAGTCTCTAAGAATTGCTGCGTTTTCAGGCTTACAGTTAGACAGACAGACAGGCAGACAAACAGATAGATAGATCGATAGATAGATAGATTAGATAGATAGGTAGATAGGTAGATAGGTAGATAGGTAGATACACAGATACACAGATAGATAGATAGATAGATAGATAGATAGATAGATAGATGAATGGATATATAGATAGATAGCTAGATGGATGGATGGACAGACAGACAGACAGACAGACAAACAGACAGACAGACAGAAAGACAGATAGATAGATAGATAGATAATAGATAGATAGACAGATAGAAAGATAGATAGATAAAAAGATAGATAGATAGACACTTGCAACTACAACTACAACTGCCACTACACTACACTACTGCTACAATTACAAATACAAATATACTACGCTACATTACACTACACTAATTACACTACACTAGTTACACTACACTACACTAATTACATCTAATTACATTACACTACACCCATTACACTAACAACTACAACAACTACTGCTACCACAACTGCAAATACAACTGCATGTACAACCACGCTACATTACACAACGCCACACTACACTGATTACATTGCATTACACTACAACTACAACTGCAGCTGCAACTGCAACTACAACTACAACTACCACTACATTGCACTACACTACACTACACATACTACACTACACAACACAACACGACATTACACTGCACTACACTACACTAATTACACCACACCACGGCTACAACTGCAACTGCGCTGGCAACTACACTAATTGCACTACATTACAACTGCAGCTCCACTACGCTACGATACCTACACTACAACTACAGCTACAACTGCAACTGCACTACGCCACACTGCATCCAGCAGTTGTGGTAAGGTGACCACTGCAACCATTGCAACCGCTCCAAAAAACACAACTCCAACCACCTGTCGGTCCATCACTGGATTCGCTCTGCCATCCGTGATTCGCAACAACCAACCTCTCCTATAGGTTTCCTAATTTTTGAAACTTCCGCCACCGCCTTGTGCGGTACTACTGGTATTATACATATACATATGTATATATATATATGTATGTATATTATATAAGGGTTTTCAATCAATTCAATCATATATTCTTGCCACATCACAATGGTCCCTGGAAACTGGGATTTGATATGTTGTGTATGGTTTGCGACCGCAGTGTCACCACTTGCCAAGACTTGGACGGTTTGTAGTTTGGCTTGCACTGAAGAACCGAGGGATTCTTCATCAATCGTGGGGGCACCAGGTGGTCCCAGTGACCAACAGAACTCTGCGGCATGAAGATTGCCTGGATCGCAGCCCTGACATGCTTGTAGTTTCCAAGGCCACCTGCCTTGAATGATACACAAGAGACTCTGAACATCATTCTATGATATCCTGTCTCTCATAATATTAGTTTTCTTTGAGTGGAACTCCAACCTTAAGCCTTCCTCGTCCCGAACTAAGAAAGTGTTCAAATAGCTTCAGACAGAGGGGTTCACTTCTTCTCATATTTAGCATGTTGTTTGGGAAGGTTATTGCCCCGTTAAACTGATCCATAATCCACGGGAGGCTGGTGAATATCCCACTCTCATGGAGGGTACCTGGATTCATGTTAACACCTGGGCTGTTGACTTGGGTACCATTTGAATGACCAATGAGATTTCTCGCTTTTTGGAGGTCCTCACCATTTTCAATCAACTAAGGTTCAGAAAAGGGTTTGTTCTCCCTCGGTTAGATTCCTCCATTCTCAACGCACCCGGTCGTCCTTGACGTCGGCGCCATCAAACGGCTGAACGCCGACCTCGCCGCGGGTACCGTAGTTCTCGTAGAATGTTTGTAAAGCAGGATCCACCATCCCAAAATTTATTTTAAGTTTACTATGAATGGCATAAAACATCAAAAATATGGTTGGTTTGTATGATTGTTTTATTAACATTAACTACAGATGTGTGATAAAATACATCATAAGCACATCAGAAAACTGTTTGTTGTAAGCCAACTTCCCGAACTGGGGCATCACTGAACCAGTTTGAGGTTAGATGATCCAACCAGATAGTCCCTTATTCCTGGTACCAAATCGTTGGCCGATGTCCGAAACCCTTGGTCCTTGGTTTATTGATGGGAACAATACCTGCAGCGAACGGGTTACCATGGAATCAGTTAGCACAGATACCCAGGATGAGAATCTATGATCGATAGGAGGGTCCCCAAAACAATGAAATACCATGATATTATGTGTATATATATATATACGTAACTAATTCCACCACCAAAAAAACAGAGGTCCCCCAAACTGATCAGCCATGGGTTGACTAATCCAGCATGCTTTCCAATCCAGTTCGAACCTGGTCATTAAAAAAAAAATCGCGCCGACCAGTCAATCATCTACATGTCTGGTGAATCTTCCACCCAGTTTCTTCAACTGTACTTTATGTGATGCTTTGAATCCCAGAGCCTATTCTTACCCTCTGGAACTCAAAAATCACCGGAAAAAACACCAACTATACTTCGATGATTTTCCCATCTCTAGATGCCCAAAATGTCCAGGATTTCCCCAGCCATGATGACACCGGAGGGTATGGCATCATCTGCCAAGAGCCCGGTCGCCATGGTCAAGTTAAATGGCATTAATTGGGAGGACCATAGGATGAGATCAACAATAATGCGAATACAATGGGAACATGAGAAGATATATCATAATATAAGTCAAAAAGTATGCTATCTGTATCTACATATATATATATTATTATATATATATACATACGCATGTTTTATGGTCATCCCACCATCTTTAGAACTTCATTATAGTGGTTTTGTGAATCCCACAATGGAATGACCCATCAGCCAGATCCACCGATCCACCGCCTGCCGGGTGGAAACAGCCGCAGACTGCGTGCTGAGCCAAATCGTTGCCGGAGATTTTGGATGTGTCCCGCGCAACTTAGTGTTAACCCATGAATCCAACTGGGGATATTGTGAAGCGGATATATGGCCATAGTGTTAAGTATAGTTTACTATATTGCATTATAAAAACCATAAACCAGCAGCTTTCAACTATATATACTAAACCAGGGCATCATAAGTTGCCTTTTTCTTGCCCCATTTGCACCAGATCAACACTGGTCGGTCCAGTGCCAAGTTGTTCCCAGATGTGGAAGGCAAAATCTACGGAAATGCCGAGAGATTACCCTCCGGTTGTTTAACATAGCTATGGAAAATCACCGTGTTTAAAAGGCAAATCATCACAAATCATCTATAAATGGGATCTTTTTACCTTAGCTATGTTAAATAACCAGAGTCCCCCAATCCATCGATGCTTGGGCTCTGAAAATTGGGCACCCCGGGCATGTTGATCTTCATTGTCCCTGTGAAAACGGCAATTTTTCGGGGTAAAAATGCCCATTTTCAGACACCGCAGATTGGCTTGGACTCTTTAGGTGGTCATCGCAATTGATGTAGCCGGGAACAGCCAGCTGAAACAACTTTGACTGTGACTATGACTATAATCTATGATTGCGACTTTGAGTATGACTATGACTATAACTATGATTACGACTTTGACTATGAATATCAGTATGAACTATGACTAAATGATTATATGACAATATACGAAACATCTCATTGAAAACTCTCGCAGTGTGGCAGTGTCTCTTTTCTGCGCGATTTTTGTAGCGACGGTTTCCATCTCAGCCTGCCAGGATGATGTGATGCGATGTTATCCCACTCCCTCGATGTATCCATCTGTATCCTGAAATCGTTGCCTTTTCACAGCAATCCGTTTAGTCATATCCGGGATACATATGAAGAGCTAGTGTATTGACAATGGACAATGGAAGGTGGTTTTTTGCCAATCTAGTCTAAAATATGGCATACGTGCTAAGATGATCCGCCTCAGAATTGAGTCAACTGGGACTATCATCGCAGGATCCATGCATCATTGGTGATTGAATCCCCATCACAATTATGTGCAGATTGTGTATATATATATATATCCCCATCTATACAGTGGTTCACCATTAACCAACCTATCTTTGTCAAAGAAAACAATGATGTTCCCTTCCGAACATGGAGATCCCAGAACCCCTTGTTTTTTGTGGATTCGAAATGATTTATTCATTTTTCTTAGTCGGCAAAAATTAACCACATATCAGCATCACGTATATCACCCCATTTATACATCCATGCAGTAGGATCTACCATTGGTGTCACATCCCATGTTCCGCCAATATAAGCATCTATATGCCATACTAATACAGTAATCCCTATGCGTGATCGACAATGTTCGTTGCTTATCATCCGTTTTTCTGTGAACCAAATCTCCCAGTGCGGCCAGTGAGCCCCGAGCCGGATCCCCTGGGCTCCCACGATCCACCTGAGCCCGGTCGTCAGATGTCAAGCTGAAAGGATCCCCAAATGAAAAGGTATGGATTTCGAATCTTCGAGGGGCATTTCCCGGAAAGTAAATTAGGGTTGAGGGAAATAACTTCGAGTCGGTACCATCTGAAAACCCAACTGTCAAAATGAAGCAGCAACGTCATCATCCAATTTGTCAACTCTCCGGTCTAATCTAATCACTAATGTGAAACATCGTGAAACTATGTGAAACCTGGCAAAAACAATTACGCTACAAAATCTCACATGGTTGTCTCTTCGAAGTCCTACGCAATTCCGCTGAAGCAAACTCCAAAGAATCACGATTCTGCTGATATGCATGATGCACGATCAACTTGTCCGCCTTCAAATCCTCTGAAGCAAACTGAAGAGCAAAGCCATTCTGTCGAACTGCTTCCAGCACGACCCCCTGGTGGTTTTGCCATTTCTGTGGCGCAAATTCAAGAAGCAAACCAGGGCGCACTGCCTTCAGCACTAGATCCAGTTCATCATGCCACGAGTCGGTCGTGGCAAAATGCTTGGCAATGTCAGCTGCTCGCTGGATGAAATCCCTGTCATCTTGAAGATCCCTCGACGCATATTGAAGAAAATGGCGAAGCAAATCGAAAGCACCTTGGAATCCCTGCAGCTGTTCCATCAAGAGATGTTCAAACCCTCTATGGTTCCACGCTGGGTCGTATCGATCAGAAAATCGTCCACGGGAAAAAAACTCATGCCGGTCACCGTGGAAAACCTTGTAGAAGAAACAGCTTCGAGCCACTCGCAGCATAAACTCTTTGTTACCGAGCAATTTCACTGGTGCAAATGTAAGCACGGTGATGTTTCGTACAGCTGCTTGCAGAACAAGCTCCGTATCACCTTGCAAGTCTTGTGAGGCAAACTGAAGCACATCATTGCCCCTTTCTGCATGCCACCAGCGCTCATTTCCCCCTTCTGCATGCCGCAAGGGCTGCTGATGTTGAATTGCTTGCAGCACAACCTCCCTGTCAGCTTTCAAATCTACTGAAGCAAACTGAAGAGCGTGGCCATGGCCTCGAAGTGCTTGCAGCACCACCTCCTTGTCACTCCGCAAGGTCTCTGAAGCAAACTGAAGAGCGGAGCCATAGCGTCGAACGGCTTCTAGCACCACCTCCCTGTCACTCCGCAAGCTCTCAGAAGCCAATTCCAGCATCGAGCCTTGCTGACGAATGGCTTTGAGCGCAACCTCTTTGTCTCCTTGCAAGTTCTGTGGTGCAAACCGAAAGGCTCTGGCATTGACTTCAAGTGCTTGCAATACTACGTCCCTGTCATTTCTCACATCTTCGCCGGCAAAATCAAGGACACTTAGATCACTAGAGTCACCATGCTGCAATCGCTGCTCGATCGCTCGCAGAACCACCTCTTTATCATTTTGAATTTCTGGTGAAGCAAATCGAAGGGCAAAGCCGTTCCACCGAACAGCTTCCAGGATGAAGTCCCTGTCCTCTCGCAAATCCTTCGAAGCAAACCTCAAAGTAGCGTAATGCTCATTGACTGCATCCAAGACAGCCTCGGGATCTTCTTTCAGGGCCTCAGAGGCAAATTCAAAGGCATTACCATTCAGCTTCACCACTTGCCTCATGAAGTCTGAAGCAAACTCAAGCACCGATGGGTTGAAACTGCGAACTGCTGTCTCCACAACCAAGCTGTCACTTTGCAAAACCTTTGAAGCAAACTGTAGGGCAGAGCCATTCTGTCTAACGGCTTCTAGCACAAGCAGCCTGTCATTTTGTAATTTGTTTGAGGCAAACTGCATGGCACGGCCAGACTTGCGAACTGCTTCCTGCACCAGCTTCCTGTTACTTTGCAAGTCCTCAAAAGCAAACTGAAGTGCAGAACCATTTTGCTGAACTGCTGCCCACACGATAGCACCATCTCTATGCAAGTTCTTTGCAGCAAACTGCAGCGCAGTGCCGTCCTGTCGCACTGCCTCCAACACAATTTCCCTGTCGCTCTGCAGATCCTTTGAGACAAACTGAAGGGCTGAGCCTCTTTGCCGCACAGCTTCCGTTACGAACTGCCGGTCATTTCGAAGCTGCCCAGATGCAAACATCAGAGCACACCCATGCTCTTTCACTGCTTCAAGAACAAACTCTAAATCTTCCCACTGCTCAGGCCAAAATCTCTTCTTTGCCATCAACTCTAACAACGCAAATTTCAGAAAAATGTCCTGACTGCCTGAAGCCTCCTGGCTCATGATGAGCTCGCCTTCTGTTTCATCCAGTTTGTTTCGCAAAAACTCGCTGCTCAGATGCAGGGTACTAGGTCCCGTGTCCACTTTGAACGCTTTTCTGCGCAGACTGAAAATTGTTCGAAACTGTGCTTGTTGCGGCTGGAACTCCACACCCTCAAGGACTGCATCTTCGTTGTCTCCAAATCTCTTGGCTCTGCTCAAGTCGTCCAACAAGTTCAGGACCGTGATGAAATGCGAACCTGCGAGTTCACGCACTGTTTTGATGAGACTGTACAAGTCTTGACAGGAGCTTATCGGAGGCTGGGAGCAGTGTGAACTTCTATCCTCAAGCTGCACTTTGTGCTGAAACAAAACAGGGTTTGAATAATCCTTGGTATTTTGGGTTACAACATGTTTTCCAAGCTCTCCAGCACCACCTGCATCAATCAGTTTGACTTCCAACTGCAGTTCGCCGCCGCAGTCACTCTCCTTGGTCACGAGAATGTTGGAAGGAGTCAAGTCCATATGCCCAAAACCTTTGTCATACAGATAAAGTAGGGCGGGTGCCACCTGCTTCACCACAGCTTTGGCAGCAGCTTTTTTGTAGCGTTCAGTCTCCAATGCCGCGACGGAATACTTTCCCAACTCCATCAGGAAAGCAGGGAGGCGGCCATGCTCAGCGTCCAATACATGACCTTTGCCCAAAGGTCGAATGATGTTTGGGTGGTCCAGCCCAAGAAGAGTCTCAATTTCGTTCTCCATACTTCGCCGTGACTTCTCATGAGGCAAAGACATCTTCAGTGCAAGGCGGGTGTTTGTCACTCGGTCTCTGACTTCAAACACCACTCCAAATCCTCCACGACCCAAACAACGACATAGATCGTAAGCAGTCGCACCATCCGCGCCATCCAGCAAAATGGGCGGAACAAAACGCAGCGGCACAGAGACTTCTTGCGAATTCGGATCGACCCACTGCGGCAAGTCTGCCAGACTGGAATCCCTCAACTCCAGGTGCTCAGAAGGGCTGTAGTAATGGACGGTATAGTCCTCCAAATTCTCTCTTTGTCTCAGCTTCTGGAGCTTTTCTTGAATCTTTGGCCATTATTTTTCTACATTGATTTGCGGCCAACTCTCAAATGTCAGACGCATTCTCGCATTCCTCTCTGCTTCTTTGCATGGATAACGGATTTTCAAGACCACACTTTGAGGAGGCATATCTCAAACGGAATTAAAGTTCATCCTGCAACAGCTCTTTGCTGAGCATATCAATCAAATCTATATAAAACATTAAGCTACATCTGTTTGAGCAATCAAATTGACGGCAAATGCACTGTGTATGTGTGTTGTCTGAGTCTCCATCCTTCAGCGTACTTGGCACCGGCACGCAACAATCTCTCACTAGTGAATACGGTTGACTCATTGTTGCATGGCAGATGCTGTGGAATCTGCACTCACGATTTCCAAGGCCTTGTGCTATGCACACCAGCTCACCAGTCGATGATATGCACGAAAAGTCTTGCACTAAGGACGCTGCAATTAAAGCATCTTCACACGCTGCGTGCATCAGGTGTCCTGACAGCAATGGCATGGCTATGGATGAATTGTCCTGCCAATTCATTGGAACTTTCCAAGTTGTAGCGGAAGCGAATCCATGTCTTTCCCATCTACGTTTAGGGCTGCTGGCCGGCTACTTGGTTTTGACAGGCCCCACCTGCAAGAACAGTAGAATTGTTTTGTTCCACGTGACCCAAACTTTGAATCAATTCCCAGCTGTGAACCAAAAGATGCGCCGTGGTTGTTGTCGAAGAATTCATCAACATCCTCGTTGGGTGTGTTACTCAGGGTCAGGCCATAGGTGCTCAGCTCTGGCCAATGCATTTTGGCAAAGATGAACACCTATGGTTTGACATGTCGCATCTTGGTGGTAGTTTCACAAGATTAAAAAAATGCAAAAAATAAAAACCTTAGGCCTGACATGGGGTAAAGTCCAGTCACGCTTTTTGCAGGCAGGATGAAAGCCTGTAAGCCTAACATAGGCTAACAAAATGTGCTTGGGATACTTGAGGAATGGTCGGATTCGTAGACATCCAAATCAGGGTTGGATTGCTGAATTTCTCATACCTGGTGTCTTCTTGAAACGGACCCTGATTTCAGAATTTCAATACCAGTTTTGCATGTTTAGTTATATATATAATATATATATAAATAAATACATATTATTTGCTTGTGTGTGTACCTTTATCTTCCCTGTACAGCGTTCAAATTGCAGAATGCATACCCCGAACTCTTCGGTTCAAACCTCTGAATCACTGCCTTAAGATACCTCAGATCCTAAGATTTCATCTCACATCGTTTTGAAATTTGCGGAAACCGCTCTCCAAGTTGCACCGCTGCAAACCCATCCTGAACCAACGTCCCGAAATACCACACAGCCTCGCACCGCGCTCCAACTTTAAGCCTTCCTCATCCCGAACTAAGACAGTTTTCAAATAGCTTCAGACAGTGGGGTTCACTTCTTCTCATATTTTAGCATGTTGGGCAGGTTATTGCCCCGTTAAGCTGATCCATAATGCACGGGAGGCTGGTGATTGAATGTCCCACTCTCATGGAGGGTACCTGGATTCATGTTAACACCTGGGCTGTTGACTTGGGTACCATTTGAATGTTTCTTGGGTGGTCCTCACCATTTTCAACCAACTATAAGGTTGGTTCATTCTCCCTTGGTTAGATTCCTCCGTTCTCATCGCACCCGGTCGTCCTTGACGTCGGCGCCATCAAACGGCTGAACGCCGACCTCGCCGCGGGTACCCTGGTTCTCGTAGAATGTTTGTAAAGCAGGATCCACCATCCCAAAATTTACTTTAAATTTACTATAAATGGCATAAAACATCAAAATATGGTTGGTTTGTATGATTGTTTTATTAACATTAACTACAGATGTGTGAGAAAATACATCATAAACACATCAGAAAACTGTTTGTTGTAAGCCAACTTCGCGAATGAACTGTGGTATCACTGAACCATCCAGTTTGAGCTTAGATCATCCAACCAGATAGTCCCTTATTCCTGGTACCAAATCGTTGGCCGATGTCCGAAACCCTTGGTTTATTGATGGGAACAATACCTGCAGCGAACGGGTTACCATGAAATCAGTTAGCACAGGACGCAGGATGAGAATCTACGATCAATAGGAGGGTCCCAAAAATAATGAAATGCCATGATATTATATGTATGTATATATATATATGTATATATAATATATACGTAACTAATTCCGCCACCAAAAAAACAGAGGTCCCCCAAACTGATCAGCCATGGGTTGACTAATCCAGCATGCTTTCCAATCCAGTTCGAACCTGGTCATTAAAAAAAAAATCGTGCCGACCAGTCAATCATCTACGTGTCTGGTGAATTTTCCACCCAGTTTCTTCAATTGTACTTTATGTGATGAATGCTTTGAATCCCAGAGCCCCCTATTCTTACCCTCTGGAACTCAAAAATCACCGGAAAAAAAACACCAACCATACTTCAATGATTTTCCCATCTCTAGATGCCCAAAATGTCCAGGATTTCCCCAGCCATGATGACACCGGAGGGTATGGCATCATCTGCCAAGAGCCCGGTCGCCATGGTCAAGATAAATGGCATCAATTGTGATGACCATAGGATTAGATCAACAATAATGCGAATACAATGGGAACATGAGAAGATATAATATAAGTCAAAAAGTATACTATCTGTATCTATCTATATATATATATTATATCTAAGAAATTTCTAACGGGACCTATTGAGTAGACCCCAACTGCTCAAATTTGGTGGATTTTGCTTGCTGAGATCGAAATTTCCCAGCATTGTACTCAAATCTCTGTAGTGACCATTTATTTCTCAAGATCACCTCTTAAAATGGAGGAAGTATATATGGTAGATCTTGGTGTATGCAAGGTACCCCCAACACCCACGGTTTGTGTGCCCTTGATTGTGTGGAAATTTGACGGGCTCTTTTTTCGTGGGTTTTAAGGGGTCTGTTCAGGGTGCCGGTTTTGGACGGTTTTGGAGGGGTCTGTTCCAGATACGCATCAGGCCACAGCCCAGCGATGGAGTCGTGCAGGCAGCAGTAGTCTCCTACTTGATTCAGCGCGCGGACAAGTGGTCTCTGGAGCAGTTTTTTCCGGTTAGTTGCTGCCGCTCGACCCTTCGATGATCCCCCAGAGTCTGTCTGTGGTCACCTACAAAGGCAATAAGTGCGGGCTGCTGAATAGCTGCCAGCGAGGCAATTTCATGATAGTTGCCATACTGCTGACTCTCGTCCATGAAGGCAAACCACACTTTGGCGAGCCAGAGGTTGAACACAGAGTACCTCATTGAACAGTCAAGCTTCAATTGTTGGCCACAACTGCCATGCCAAACTGTCATGTCAGTGCAAGCGTTCAAGAGCACAGCTCCTTTTTGAACAGTGGGGCAATGCGGCTGGACAGGCTATGGGTCTGGCCATACCTGTCAAGTAAAACAGGGTTGGGTGGGTGGGCGCTTTGGAGTGATTAAAACACAGCGGCCCACCCACCCACCACTTGAGAGAAACTCTGAGGATCATATTGAAGAATGTTGTGACCCGAAATGCTACATTTCTAAACAAACTCACCATGACGATTTGATGAGTAAACTCAGCTGCATCGTCAAGCTTCAATTGTTGGCCACAACTGCCATGCCAAACTGTCATGTCAGTGCAAGCGTTCAAGAGCACAGCTCCTTTTTGAACAGTGGGGCAATGCGGCTGGACACCCCCTTTAATCCGCATGGACCAGTTGTAAAGCTTCTTGTATCCTTTCCAAACAAAGTTTTGCAGCTGCTGACTCGTCACAACATTCAGGCAGAAGAGGGTGAGATGCACCCCTTGACGGATAATCATTCACGTTCGCCTCTGTCGGCACACGGGCAAACCAAACGCACAAATTGCAATCCGCCTCCCTTCTCAAGTGGTGTTCCATCAGTTTCGTCGCAACATGACTTGCACAGTTGCCGCGGATAAGGGAGAAACGCACTGCATCATTGTCGCCAAAGCAAGTTTGAAGTCCATCCCGCATCCTATCAGCCCAGAAATCCAGTGCAAGGACTGATGCGCAGAGTTCCAATTCATATATTATTGTATGTTTCAGATCAGACCCAAACTCACGACAGACTGTTGGCGACAGCTGTATTCCAAACCACGCAATGCATTCACCGCAAGAGTTGAAAAGAGCACCACCGAGACCACCGGTGCAAGTCTCAGGTTCGTATGCTGCATCTGTGTACACAAACCATTGTTGTAAAGCCAGCGCATTAATTGTCCTCGGCCTTCCAGACTGCAGCCGTTGTAACATCATGCGCAGAGACAATTTCAGTTCGCCAGTTATCTTAACAGCTCTGCCATAAGCATGCTCAGAAAGTTGTTTTAACAGTAAGGCCCCTAGCCTGCCATGCAAGAAGGAATCTGCAAAGCCCAGTTTGCCTCGCAGCACCAACGCTTCCTGCTTGCCCAGGGTCCCACCTTCAATGGTGGCAGTCAAAAGAGCTTGAAGGTCTTGAACTCTTTGCTCGGTGTTTCGAATGGCCAGTGTCTTCTCGCCAGACTTCGTCAAATCAAACTCAACGCCCAAGGCTCTGCAAACGCTGTCAAAACTTGAGCATTTCTTTCCTTCCGTTGCATACTGCCATCCAGTCAAAAGAAAAATTAACTCCATTGAGTGCCTCGCTGAGTCAACACTTCCTGGCTTGGACGCCAGTATGTAGTCATCGTAAAAGTTGGTGTTGATCAAATACAAGGCACGGGCAGCAAGGGTATGCAGGGCTCTTGACAACCTCAAAAAACTGTACACACTATGAGTTGCTCCAAAAGGAAGTGTGACCAGTTGATAAATTTCAGCACAGTCTTGCTCACAGTTATAGATGCTGAAAAAGGAGAATCTCAGGTGGTCCTCCTTGATGGGCACCTGACGGTACGCTGCTTTGAGGTCGTACGTCTTTGCAACCAGACGGCTGTCAACACCTGCTTCATCACACTGCCTGAAATATTCCCTTATTGTTGCAGCAAAAGTGTCAATCATGTGAAGGTCCACCTTGTTGTTAGTCGAGGCAGTGTCATTGATTCCAGAAATCGAGTAATCGTCAATCATCCTCGTTTTGGATCCCTGCACCAGCGGGAATCGCCTGGACACCACTGACCCTTCAGGCAAGCTGCTAAGGGGCCCTCTAGCCCAACCAAGACGCACCTCCTCCTTTGTCTCCGCAAGGAGTTGGGCATCAACATCTCTGTCTCCACATGACTTTGAAGATGCTAAAATTGCTTGGTTTCGCTTCGGCGCCTCTCGCAAAAGTTGCGGCAGGGTCAAAAGGCACGGCTTGTAGCACTCCTTGAACATTGGCGAGCTAGGAATCTCTCCTGCCAATGGGGAGCCCTCTCGCAACAAGTCAAGCACTCTGTCATCCTCATAACCCACACTGTCAAGCATCTCCTGAGTCAGGAGCAAACGTTTGTTGCTAGTTGTTGCCTGCACATGTGCAGGCCTCGTTGCAGCATCTCGTCTTTCAGCATCTTCAAGCTCCTTGGCTCTTTTGAGCCATTTGCGACACCATTGCATCCGGTATTCCACCAATGCATGTTCTGACCATTCCAGGTGTTTTTGAATCGCCACCCGTAAATCAAGTGGCACTGCTTGGTTCTGTGCCGCTGGGTGGCCAGACTTGCAAGCCCGCTCAATGAATTGCTCACAGCTCCATGGCAACCCAAAAACCACTTTGTAGGCCCACGCATCTTTGTCGTGGGCAGTTCCATCTTCCAGTCGCCTCTTATTTTGTGGAGGCTCTTCACTACCCCCATTGTCGTCGCCGCTCACAAAATGACCACGCAAAAAACGTGAGCCTTTTGGCACCAGTGCAGGCTGGTGCTCCTCAGTCCGCAAGGAAAGGTCATGCGGCAGCCTAGCCATCAATGAGCAGGGTATAGCTGCAGGGCCCTCGGCAAGAAAAACTGCCGACTGCTGAAAATCTGGTACAATTGGAGGCAACTTTGAGGTCTTTGGTTGAAGTCCTGCAGCAACTTGTGATTGTTTTGCTGTCAGCAAAGGGTGGTCAGAGATGTCTTGTAGGCAGTTGGGCTTCAAAGTGACTCCCCAACTGTGCGCAACCTGTAGCACCAATTGTACCAAAGCTATGCAGAGCTTTCTCGGGTACTGTGATTCTTCAGCTGTGGCCCAAACTTTTTGGCCTGCCGCATTCAAAGTAAAGCCCCAACCCAAATGTTTGTGCTTTCTGTCACATGCCATGTCAAGGCTTGTAATTTCTGGGAGTGAGGCCATCACTCGCGTCCACTTGTCACGCAAGGAACCATACATGCAAGCTTGAAAATCTGTAGCATAAAGCGGGTAAATCCGCTGCAAATCCAACACATAAGGCGTGAGCCAAAAATATGATCCTCGAAGGTTTTCCATCGTGGCAAGCACATTCCTTCGAATGCACTGTGCAAACAAAAGGCAGGTGTAAAGAAACAGTGCATTTGCAAGCTCAACCCTTTTGAGTTCTTCACCAGTTAAGTCAGGTAGACCTAAAGGAAAATCAAGCGATCGCAAAGGTCGAGGCAAATTGGCAACGCCAGGCTGCGGTATCTCACGAGCCCGACTTGCAGTTCCACACACCGGTGCAAAATGCACCCACAGAAGTAATGGCGAAGAGAGCCATTCCTCAAGAAGCTCTCGGTCCGCTTGCTGCAAAAGGTCCAACTGGTAAATTGTACAGCGGGCGTTGGACTTCCTAATTTTGTCGATTGCAATGCCACCCAAACCAAAATGCTTCGCCACAGATGTCAAAACAGCACCACCAGCAAACACTTCAATCATGAATAACTGCTCTATGTGATACCCTTTCAAATCTCTTGGCACCTTCTGGTTTCCTCACTTGTGTTGTTGTAAGGAGTGAGGTTGTTGGCATCTGGGTTCAGCGCAAACGTGCATCCCCTTAGGGCAACGTTCACCAGCTTTGACTGTATTGCTATGGCTGCAACCTGCTGCTGAATTGTACGCAAAGCAAATAGGCTCATTTGCTGCCGTCTTGTGGTATTTTCCTCGTAGTTCAGCAGGCATTGGAGGAGCCTTTCCTTTCCCAGCTGTCTTGCCCTTGCCTTTGCCAGTGCCTGACTTAGGAGCCGGGCTGTTGTAAGGAGTTGCACGATTGCCTCCATGAGCCACATGAGACTGCACTGGTTTGGCCAACGGTGCCAGGTACAATGCTATTGCAGGGTCAAGCCTCAACTGCAACAAGGCTTCACCCAATGGAAATCTCCCATTGGCGTCCTCCCTCACTGGCACATTGAGTGTTGCCAACCGGGCCCAAGCAGCTTTGTCACAACTGACGACCTGGCTAAGGTTTGCCTTAGCATAGCCAGGGGGAACCTCACGATGCAGGGACTCAAACAAAAAAGTTTCCCATGCACAATGTTGCTGGTATGTCATCACCCGAGCAAATGCTAACGCCAAAGCCCTACGTGTAAGAGCGTAGTGCAACTTGATCTCTGAATCTGTTGAGCACGTTGCCTTTTCGTCCTGCTTCAAAATCAGGGCACCTTTCTCTAATGTGAGCTCTCGTGACTTGCTTGTCCCCTGTACCTCCATGCTACGTGAAATGCAAGTTGAAGGTTCCAGCCACTTGATGGAGTTATCTTCAAACATCTTGCAAGTCTTATCAAGCAGGGAATGCGCAGGCTCAAGTTCCCCACTGATTTCAATTCCTCTCAGCTCCAAACGTAGGGCCTCCATGCGCTGCGTGCGCTCAGCAAATGCCACACGGCGCGGCTGACTGTCCTCAGATTGATCCACCTGCTGCCTCAATGAAGCCACAAGGTAAGTGTGAGCCTCGAATGTCAAACGTTTCACAGCACTGGATTCCGCAAGTGTTCCGGCCCTACCCAAAGTGCGTTGCAAGAAATCATCAACGTCCTGGTTCAAGATGGGTTGCCCTGGTTGTCCTAAAACAAAGGCAATCTTTGTCAATGAATCGACACCTGCAACTGACAACGCATTCACAAACGCAGGGGTAAGGCCAAGCCGGCCACATCTGTCACTGAAATGTGCAGTGCTGTCTAACAGTGAAGTCATGGCACTACCAGCACAGGAAATGAAGGAGAAAAGAAAATGAAACACATGACAAAGCGACATGTTTGACAAGTTGAAGACTTGCAGCTTTCTGCACAGAATTTTCTTTCACTCAACCTTAGTTGTAAAGCAGCTTTCTGCAAAAAGGACCTTTGTCTCAAAACAGCTTTCTGTGAAATGAGATGCATGTAAACTTGCTGCAACGCTTGAACCTGACTCTTCAGGAATTCGGCTTTCCGAAAAATGTCATGGATGCTGGTCTGTACCAGCTACAAAATGATGCCTTTGCATGAAACTGAACTCGGAAAATGCCAATGAGCCGTTGCTCAGCAGCCCTCAAAACTTTTTCAACCTCGCACAGGCAGAGCACTCACTTGTCAGAGGCATGCTTCGTGCGCTTCAGCGCTGCATCCAGGGCTTCATTCATTTGATCCAAACTTCTGATCCGAGTTGTATCTTTTGGAAAGCATTTCAGACACTTCGGCCACCTCACTCGCAACGTACGTGGCATCTGACTGAAATTGTGATTCATCGCAGCGCCGCATGCAGCCACTTTTGAGTTGATCTTCACACGATGAACTATGGCACTCTTCTTGTGCTTGAAAAACTCAATTCCTTCAGGCACATGTTCAACAAACGCATCAGCATCTGGCTTTGCAACTGCAGGCCCATCTGACTCATCCGACGAGCTATCAGATGAACTTCCACTGCCAGAAGAGCTGTCAATCTCCACAATGCCACTGTTAACCAAGCTCAGGTCAAACAGAGACACCCGTTCCGCCTCTGCAGCAATCTGTGCCTCATCCATAAGCTCCTCCTTGACGCTCTCCAAGTCTTCAGCGACATGCATGGCATCAATGGCTGCTGCCACAGGTCCAACTGTCAGGTCAGGAGGAGGCAATGGAGGGAAAGGTGTCGCTGGCATCGGCGCCATGACAGTGGCTGGAGCGGGAGTCCTCATTGCAGGTGTTGCATAGGGATTGGGCACCATGGGATCTTCTTCCAATCCCAGTCCAATCCTGACCCGGTGCAGCAACATGTTGAGCTTCCTCAAGGCCCGGGTCTGGAGGTGCCGGCTGTAAACCACCTCCGAACCCTGCAGGGCTGAGGCGTGATGCCCCAGCACAGCCCTCACCTCCTTGTCGAGCCCCGCCTTCGCTGACCACACCAGCAAGGTCGTCTTGAGAGAGTGTGCACGAAAGGTTTCATGCTCTGCCGTCCCTTTCAAAAGAAGCCTCAACCACTCAGCGGCTTCTGGGGTGCTGAGGGGTCGGGCCCCAAAACCGCCTCCTTGCTTGGGAGCTGGCATCAAAGGTCCCAATGGCACCCTGTTGATATCCAATCCAACTTGGGCATACACATCCAGGAAAGTGCGTACCCATTCATTGTGCGTCACACCCATCCATGGAATGACCAGCGGCAGGTATTGTTCACGCCTCGCCCCAACCGCTGATGTCTTGTGCTCAGTTGTATACAACGTCAAAAACCCATTGCGGCCTTCTTCGATTGTCACATGGTGGATGTAGCGCAAGTCTGACCACCTTGCCCTACCATAAACGCAAATCAACATCACTGCTGCTCCCAGACGGTCAGTGTCACATGCTGCAGTTTCCAGTATTTCATGAAGCCTCTGCAAATGAGCTAGCTCAAGAGGTGGAGCCTGCTTCGTGGGGCCCTTCTGCAACCTTTGAATTGCAGCAAAGCCCAGCAGCCTTCTGGATTGAAGGATGCAATCAGTCTCACGTAGATCCAAACAAAATTTTGCAAAACGCACTGTCTCCAAAAAGGCAGCTTGATTTGTGAAACCCCTTCCAGAGCTCAGCCTGCATGCTTTAAGCCAGTTGAAAAACTCCCAGACATCAGGCTCGGACAGCGGGAGAGGACTCACATGAATCTCACCAGCATCTGAACGCTCACACGCATGCCACTTGAAATACCTACGCAGACTTGCAGCTCTCTTCAACAGTGTCTGTGGGCTCTTGGTGCCAAACGAAGCCTGCAGCGTCTCATTTGCCAACTTGCCGCTTGAATCCTTCTGCATATCTCTTGCTAACATCTCACCAACTCCAGATGCAAACCAACTGCATGAGAGGAGTTCCAACCATTGACCGCAGGCAAGTTCAAGCTGTCTGTTTTTGTTTTGGAAATAATCAAGATCCTGAATGTTTCGCACTGCTTTGTGAAAACATGCATCAGTCGGTAGCACAGGTTCGTCAACTAAGGCCTCTGACGCCGTGATGACCTTGTTCATGAGTTCACTGTCCGGCTCAGGCAAATGACTTGAAGGCATTTGCAAGGTAGAACCAGTGCCAAAAATTTCGGCGTAAATCCCAGTTTCCCAAGGCAAAAGAAGTGACATCGGATGCTGTGCAAACTGACTATGATTTGCCACCACACCAAGTTGCCACTGAGAATCACTCACAACAGATTGCAAAGAATTGGAATCTGCAACAGGCACAGGTTCAACAACTTGTCTTGGCGTGCTGGGACTCGGACACATTGAAACTGGTATAGTGTTCTCAAGTTCACCGCTGTGCTCTGAAGGCAAAGGAAAATTGAAATCAAATTCAGAAACAACTTGAAAGGGTTGACTGTCAAGCTCAAAACCACTGGGGGCACTTTCACAAGGCAATTCCCAGGTCTCTGAAGGTCCAGGCGCAACGCAAGTAGGCTCCAGGCTGGCCGATACACCATGGAGTCCATCTTCATCAACATGGATAACATCGTCCATTGCGCCCATCTAACTAGTCAAACCCCCATCACTCGCTTTGGAGTGATTAAAACACAGCGGCCCACCCACCCACCACTTGAGAGAAACTCTGAGGATCATATTGAAGAATGTTGTGACCCGAAATGCTACATTTCTAAACAAACTCACCATGACGATTTGATGAGTAAACTCAGCTGCATCTTCAGCCGTAGCAGATCCGCTGGTGGCGATGAGAATCCGTCTTTGCGCAATTATGCGATTCCTGTCAGCGCGTCCCATAAGCGCGTCCCATAAGCCTCGCCTTTACCTTCCTCTACGCGGCCGAGAAGACGGCCAAAGGATGATTGGGTCGGCGGGCGCAGGTCACAGATTTGATCAGCCAGTGCCTTTGCAGCAACGTTCTCCTTCGTAAACACCACTGGCTTGTTGTATGTCTAATTCTGTCTCAATCACGTGATCTCGAGGGTACGCTTGAAGTGTTCAGGGAGGTCAAAACTTACACATGACAGGACCCGCAGGAGGCCTTCGCATCTGACACCATGCGGGATCACGTTGGGATGAGTGATTTGCAGTTGATCGAAACGATGGGCCATACACATGCTTTGCTCGACCAAGCCACCCGGGGAACCTTCTAGGAGGATAAGGTTATACCGTTATACCCAAGTTCTGTTGGATCGGTAGGTCGCCACACGCACACTCGGTCTTTAACGCAGTGTAGCACCAGGGAAGCAAGCAAAATCGCTCAAGACGCTGTGTACAGCAAGTCCAGTGTTGCGACCCTGCTGAGAAGCCGCGTACATCAACTTGACGGGCACCATTGGGAACCATAGGCTTCATCATGTCAGGGTAACAAGCTTGCAACAGCAATGTTTTGGTAACATCTGATGATTTGCCGTACTGCTGTAATCCATGTCGGGTGTGGCGGCTTCGCATGGGCTGGCCGGATTGTGGCTGCTCGCAGAAGCCGCACTGCTCGTGTCAGGAGAGCTTGGGATTGACCAATTGGCTTGGCAAGAAATTCTTCCACACGCCCCATCCACAAGCAGTGGCAAGGAGTTGATAAATGACATATTCGTGGGTAGTCTTCGTGAGCCCCAGCTGTGACACCCTCAGCTCCCAGTTATCTATCATTGCTAGGGATGGTCCATACACTTTCATTTGAGCGTGGTTTTGAAAGAAAAGGTCATAGGCATGATCTGGGCTCAGGAGGCCTCCTCCTAGTCCACTGCAGTGCATGACCAGGGGCCGATCATTCATGCCAGCGTCTTCTTTCCACGCCTCTTCCAAGGAAAAAATCCACTGTGCCCATCTGCGTGAGCGAGGCAGTGGCATGTGCGTTTCCTTTACTACTACTACTACTACTACTACTACTACTACTACTGCTCCTCCTCCTCCTACTACTACTACTACTACTACTCCTGCTACTACTACTACTACTCCTCCTCCTCCTCCTACTACTACTACTACTACTACTACTACTAGGGAGGCCCCCAACTCCGTCTCCAAAAATCATATCAATTTCAGGTACCAAAAACGAACCCAAAACTAGCCCCTTGTCTTGGTCATGACCATCTTTCCCTTTCTGTTCTCTTGATGAAAGAGGCTCCGTGTTTCCAAAGCCTGCAATCGAGGCACTTCGAGGCTCGGCGAGGCCTGGCCGAGGCCACGCCTCGGACGCAAAACGTATTGGCACAAGGGCAAAGCGAGGCTTACGGGGACTCGAAACTATTAATACTATTGTTGAAGTCCCAGCAAGGTTGAACTTGAAGTAGTCGGCAACTGTGCTGTCTTGCTAGAATTTTAGGCCGCAGCTGGCGCAGAGGGACGGCCTCAAGGCAAGCCTCGAGGCTTCAAGTTGATGGAAATTGCAGCAAAACAAAAAGTTTATAAGATAAAACAAAGTTGAAGGCAGGCCTCAATGCAAGTCTCGAACTCCAGTGTCGCGAGACGATGGAAATTAGAACAAAACCCCTCAGGGCAAGCTTCGAGGCAGGCTTCGAGGCAGGCCTCGAGGGCCCCAAGCCAATGGAAATTGAAGCAAAACAATATGACAAAGAAGGGACCCTTTTTTGGTCCTCAAAACGTAAGAAAAAGCAGGCGCGCAAAAATGAGCCTCCCCAGTTCAAGTTTCCACTCGCAGCTGTTGCTGGTCACGCTTCAACATATTTGCCACAATGAAAGGGCCAAAACTGGACCCTCCAGGGGGGACCGCTTTTGATTTCAAGGGGGTCAACTTTCTGACCCCTTTTTAAACACGTTTCCTTTGCACAGGGGTCCAAAACTGGACCCTCAACAGATTGAATCCGGTACCTCCTTGGAGGTCCGGTTTTAAGCCCACCCAAGCACCTTCTTCAGCTGCGCTGTTCCAATGTAGAAACGCATCAAACCAACACCGAGTTGGCAATAAGGGCCTCGAACAGTTCAAGTTTCCACTCGCAGCTGTTGCTGGTCAAATCAGCTTCAACTTGAAATAAACGCTTCAACATATTTGCCAGGGGGGACCGCTTTTGATTTCAAGGGGGTCCACTTTCTGACCCCTTTTTAAACACGTTTCCTTTGCACAGGGGTCCAAAACTGGACCCTCAACAGATTGAATCCGGTACCTCCTTGGAGGTCCGGTTTTAAGCCCACCCAATCACCTTCTTCAGCTGCGCTGTTCCAATGTAGAAACGCATCAAACCAACACCGAGTTGGCAATAAGGGCCTCGAACAAGGGAGGCCCCCAACTCCGTCTCCAAAAATCATATCAATTTCAGGTACCAAAAACGAACCCAAAACTAGCCCCTTGTCTTGGTCATGACCATCTTTCCCTTTCTGTTCTCTTGATGAAAGAGGCTCCGTGTTTCCAAAGCCTGCAATCGAGGCGCTTCGAGACTCGGCGAGGCCTGGCCGAGGCCACGCCTCGGACGCAAAACGTATTGGCACAAGGGCAAAGCGAGGCTTACGGGGACTCGAAACTATATAATACTATTGTTGAAGTCCCAGCAAGGTTGAACTTGAAGTAGCCGGCAACTGTGCTGTCTTGCTAGAATTTTAGGCCGCAGCTGGCGCAGAGGGACGGCCTCCAGGCAAGCCTCGAGGCTTCAAGTTGATGGAAATTGCAGCAAAATAAAAAGTTTATAAGATGAAACAAAGTTGAAGGCAGGCCTGAATGCAAGTCTCGAACTCCAGTGTCGCGAGACCATGGAAATTAGAACAAAACCCCTCAGGGCAAGCTTCGAGGCAGGCTTCGAGGCAGGCCTCGAGGGCCTCAAGCCAATGGAAATTGAAGCAAAACAATATGACAAAGAAGGGACCCTTTTTTGGTCCTCAAAACGTAAGAAAAAGCAGGCGCGCAAAAAATGGCCCTCCCCAGTTCAAGTTTCCACTCGCAGCTGTTGTTGGTCAAATCAGCTTCAACTTGAAATAAACGCTTCAACATATTTGCCACAACGAAGGGGCCAAAACTGGACCCTCCAGGGGGGACCGCTTTTGATTTCAAGGGGGTCCACTTTCTGACCCCTTTTTAAACACGTTTCCTTTGCACAGGGGTCCAAAACTGGACCCTCAACAGATTGAATCCGGTACCTCCTTGGAGGTCCGGTTTTAAGCCCACCCAAGCACCTTCTTCAGCTGCGCTGTTCCAATGTAGAAACGCATCAAACCAACACCGAGTTGGCAATAAGGGCCTCGAACAGTTCAAGTTTCCACTCGCAGCTGTTGCTGGTCAAATCAGCTTCAACTTGAAATAAACGCTTCAACATATTTGCCAGGGGGGACCGCTTTTGATTTCAAGGGGGTCCACTTTCTGACCCCTTTTTAAACACGTTTCCTTTGCACAGGGGTCCAAAACTGGACCCTCAACAGATTGAATCCGGTACCTCCTTGGAGGTCCGGTTTTAAGCCCACCCAATCACCTTCTTCAGCTGCGCTGTTCCAATGTAGAAACGCATCAAACCAACACCGAGTTGGCAATAAGGGCCTCGAACGTTCAAGTTTCCACTCGCAGCTGTTGCTGGCAATAAGGGCCTCGAACAAGGGAGGCCCCCAACTCCGTCTCCAAAAATCATATCAATTTCAGGTACCAAAAACGAACCCAAAACTAGCCCCTTGTCTTGGTCATGACCATCTTTCCCTTTCTGTTCTCTTGATGAAAGAGGCTCCGTGTTTCCAAAGCCTACAATCGAGGCGCTTCGAGGCTCGGCGAGGCCTGGCCGAAGCCACGCCTCGGACGCAAAACGTATTGGCACAAGGGCAAAGCGAGGCTTACGGGGACTCTAAACTAGTAATACTATTGTTGAAGTCCCAGCAAGGTTGAACGTGAAGTAGTCGGCAACTGTGCTGTCTTGCTAGAATTTTAGGCCGCAGCTGGCGCAGAGGGACGGCCTCAAGGCAAGCCTCGAGGCTTCAAGTTGATGGAAATTGCAGCAAAACAAAAAGTTTATAAGATGAAACAAAGATGAAGGCAGGCCTCAATGCAAGTCTCGAACTCCAGTGTCGCGAGACCATGGAAATTAGAACAAAACCCCTCAGGGCAAGCTTCGAGGCAGGCTTCGAGGCAGGCCTCGAGGGCCCCAAGCCAATGGAAATTGAAGCAAAACAATATGACAAAGAAGGGACCCTTTTTTGGTCCTCAAAACGTAAGAAAAAGCAGGCGCGCAAAAATGGGC